CATCACACATGCCAGGAACTTGATTGGAAATAAGACAGGACTTCTCTTGATGGCTATGTTCCCGAGCTATGGAAAATCACGTTTCGAAATTGCGTTCGTATTTCCATCCGTGGACGGGACATATAAAGAGTGCAAGGCACGGGGAGAAATTGTTCCAAGGAATCGATGGATCGACAAGCTCAACACCAGATGCGCACAAAATGCACTCAGGCCCGACGGCAGCTCAGCCCAAGTTCAGAATGCGAAGGCCGGCACCACCATCCGTTGAAGAAGAGAGAAAGATCAAGCCGTTCTCGAAGAAGCCCATCACATTCATGTTCCATGCAACCTATGGAAGTCAGCTCTACAGCATCATGGAGCACGGGCTCAAATCTGGGAAATCCCAGTCAAACCCTTCGGGGAGAATGCACGTTCACATGGCATGCATCGATGACGTCATCCTCGAAGACGATGAGTCAGAAGCCGCATTGACCCATGTGCCAGCAGGAAGAGATGCGCTGTTGATCCTTGCATTTCTCAAGGACCAAGACTATGGCATCCGCCTCTCTGAAGAGAGAACAGCGTTGACAGACAAAACCATCGAGGCAAGAAACATTGTTGCAGCATTTGAACCCGATGGCAGCCTCATGGCGAGCAACAAGTGGATCATGAAGAAGCACCTCGATTATGAAGACTTCGAGATGTATGACACCAAGATCCGCAAATTCGCCGATGCCTTCTTCAAGCATGTGAATTCCACCAAGCACAACAAGGAAAAAGATACTTCCTCAGAGACCAAGAAGAGACGGCATTCCACCGATCAGGACTCCACCGAAGGAGAAATGATGGAACCCTCCGGGGAAAGATCCGTCAAGCCGAAGGTCATCGTGGAATATCACAATCCAGAGAACCTAGAAGAGTTCATCCAAGAACTCAAGGGAATCTATCTCGAAATAGATATGAACAAAGGACGCAGAGGAAGAGCTCGCGCGGATCAAAGAAGAACTCAAACGCTTCATGAGCCAGTTCAACAAAGATCCGAAAGGAGCTCATCCCAATTTGACAGAGTGCGAGAGAGCCTCATTGGCACATGTCAATCTCGGTGAAGAAGAATTCTACTTCCCTCATCGAGGAGAATGTCCCACCATTGACGAGTACAAGCAAGCTCAACCAGGATCCGGATATCCGATCAAGCTGCCGCTTGGACTGAAGAAGCTCAGGTCACAAGATGACCCGAAAATCATCCGAGCTTATGCCGATATCCTGGGATCGCTGATGCAGCCGACTGACCGTCCTTCCGTGGACTATCTCAACATGCATGAGTTCACCTCATCCATAGCGATCAACATGCTTACCCTGAACCATGGAAACCTCACAAGGAATCCAAAGTTGGACAACAGGGAGGTGTACAACATGCCGGTGAAGGATCGACCGACCGTCAAGATGATGATGCAGAACAGTGCACACATCTTATGCCTGAATGAGGCAGACGCATTCTTCAGTCCGAATGATGAGAAATCCAGGGAGCTCATCAAGACGTTCATCCGATACGGTTACAAGGGCATCGTGATCAAGCAATGGTCATCCAGACCGATCGCATGCTTTGTCCGCGGTGGACCCTCTGCACGAGTGGAACTTCTGGCAAGACACATTTCCACCAGGAGCCAGAATTGGGGAACCACATTCGGAATGTTCAGATGTTTCTTCGGAACTAAAGGAGATGGCACTGATCCCAAATACGAAATTCCGACCTCGGATTGCTTGGCAACCACAGGAACATCCATGTTTACCGAATCCAAGAAGTACATTGGATCGAGATTGCCAGCACGCACCATTGTCCAAGGACATGGCCGAGACAAGGAGATCGTCGTTCTCCACATCGAGCAGAGTGATGAGTTTCGTGGCATGATCAGTCATACCACGAGTATGACGACCGCCGCATAACGAGGGCAGATCTACCATTCGCAACCATTGGAGTCTTCCACATCCATCCTTCACTTAGCCATGGAGCAGCAAAGGAAGATTTTCAGAATGAAATCATGCCGCTCGTGACCTTGTACCGGTGCGATGCGATCACCGGAGACGCCAACAAATCGGCGAACACCTAGAGCAAACTCCAGCATGTCTGCAATCCAACCAACGGTCTCGTGAACATCCTCATGAGAGCATATCAGAGACTGTGGAATGCGACGAAGAATTTGCCACTCGTGGACAGAATGGAGTATGCAGTGGAGACTTCGTGCACCCTGAAATCCATTGTCCGTCATCACCTGCACATGAAATGCGGATCAGGTTTTGATCGAACATTCCCAGATGTGATGATGACTATCGTATTTGGATGGGGCAAAACGAACATCCAGCAGGATTTCCGGAAGGTCGAGATGAACGGTATGGATGATGAACAACTGGAATTCATGCGGAACCATCCAACCAAGGCCATATTCGATTACCAGGTCTCATCCGCAGAGCGCTACAAGCACGTGAACAATGAAATGTTCATGAACGGCTCGCAGGACTCCGACTCCCACAGTCCCCTGATGGTTTACATCCGCAGCAAGTCTGCAACCAGTAAACGCAACTCTGAGAGATACCAGGATTACTTCAAGAAGAGACAATCATCCTGGACCACGCAGGAGTATAAGGACTACAACAAGCAGTGGGGATATCAGAAGCAGTGGAAGGACTATAGCACTTCGACCTGGAATGATTATGGAGACCATGGCAGTCAATCCGACAGCAGCCGCCGATGGTATCGTCGATCCGACTGACCATGAAGATACGTTCAGCACCACGAGCAATCCAGATGATTGATCCTCCTCGTCTACAAGACTATACCATGAGTGAGTGATCAATAGTTTCACAATTGTTCCGCGTGTACATAGCGTTGTACATCACCCTTTGATACAATTAGGTATCCAAAAAGAAGCGTACATAGTGTTTCCCATTTCGAAGGCCAAGACATTTTCATCCAAGCAGAAAAAGGATGAATCCGGCACTTTTAATCACATGGCTACGGCACACATCAAGGCTACGGTCAAAGGCCATGAAGCCAATAGTATTTCATACTTTGTGCTGGAGATCAAAAGAATTTTGTGTCTGTTTTGTGTTCTGTTTTTCAGACCATTGATCTCCCGCAACATTTGGCTCAAGGCCCGTTTTTGCATAATCACGACCATCCGAGCGTGAGAACAAAAGAGCCATTGCAGGCCGCTTACAGGATTATCCACAAGACAATCCACCAGGGACAATCCATCCTCCAATCATCCATTACTGGCATATTGGACTCTCTCCGGAATAGATCCAGGGACCAACAACGACCTCAACTACCACAGGGTTCCAGTTCCCTCCGGATAGGCACCTGGGGCAGTGGGCCTCACCCCCCCCCGCTACTTTTTAGATTTCTTGCAGAGATTTGACCGCACCCCTGTTTGAATCATCACTTTTTCGAGCGTCCAATTTCGCAAGAAAATGCTGTAAAATAGAACGTTTTAGGCAATCTATGTAATCCATGTATGTCTGTATGTATGCACTTCTTCGAGTCCCCGTTCTTGAATCATTGCACCCCTATTTGAATCAACGCTTCTTCAAACATCATGGTGGGGGCTGCCGCCGCCTCCCCCCGCTCCTTTTTAGATTTCTTTCAGAGATTTTACCGCACCCCTACTTGAATCCAATTTCGCAAGAAAATGCTGTAAAATACAACGTTTTAGGCAATCTATGTAATCCATGTATGTCTGTATGTATGCACTTCTTCGAGTCCCCGCTCTTGAATCATTGCACCCCTACTTAGAATCGTCACTTCTTCGAACATCATGGGGGAGTGGCCGCCCCCCCCCCCAACCCCCCCGCTACTTTTTAGACTTTTTGCAGCTCATCTGCGAACATCATGAAAAGGCTCTGCCGCCCCCCCCCCCCCCCCCCCAACCGCCCCGCTACTTTTTAGTTGCTTTTTGCAAGGATTGAAACACCCTCCTATTTGAATCATCATTTTTTGACCCCGTCAACCCACCCGCCAGCTACTTTTTTGATTATGTTACCCACGATTTGTTGGTGATGCTAGGGATGTTGGTGAGACATGCTGGGGATGTTGGCGGGCTAGTGTAAAATGCCTCAACTTCGCGAGAAACTTCGCTTCGAGCAAGCCCCGCCCTCCACACTCACGATCTTGCGACCGTTGCAACAAATTCCCCCGGGATACTGGCGGGATCCACTGGCGACGAGCCGCTCCGGCTCGATACTGCCCGGATACGCGGCAGGATCCACCGGCAAGGGATACTCCGCGGGATGCTTGGCGGGATCCACTGGCAAGCTACTCTGGGATATTCAGTTGGCGGGATCCACTGGCGGGCTGCTCTGGTGGGATACTTGGCGGGATTGACTGGCGAGCTACTCTGGCGCGATACTCGGCGGGATCCACTCCAGTGGATCCCGCCGAGTATCCTGCCAGTGCATCCCGCCCAGTATCCCGCCATAGCAGCTCGCCAGTGGATCCCGCCGAGCATTCTGCCAGAGCAGCTCGCCAGCGGGTCCCGCCGAGTCCGGCTCGCCAGTGGATCCCGCCAAGTATCCCGCCAGAGCAGCTGGCCAGTGGATCCCGCCCAGTATCCCGCCAGAGCTGCTCGCGAGTGGATCCCGCCAAGTATCCCGCCAGAGCAGCTCGACAGTGAATCCCGCCCCGCCGAATCCCGCTAGAGCGGCTCGCCAGTGGATCCCACCAGAGCAGCCGGCAGAATATCCCGCTGAATATTCCAGAGTAGCTCGCCAGTGGGTCCCGCCAAGTATCCCGCCGAGTATCCCACCAGAGCAGCCCGCCAGTACATCCCGCCAAGTATCCTGCCGAGTATGCCAGCTTGCCCTGTCGGGTGGGGGAAAAACTAACAAGATCTGGAAAAAATCCGCACCCATTTGCAATGCGGGAGGGGTTGAAAAGAATGGAGGGATGCGGTTAATGAAGCTTCTGCCTGGTCCGTGTTGAGTACAATGGGTCTGACCATGGTTACCTGCACCGTCCTCAAGCCAAGGCTCCAGACCAGAGCCACGTGGTCGAGTCGCCTCGCGCGCCTGGCAGACAGCTGGATGAGCTAGCAGCAGAGCTGCTGCTGGTCGACGCTGCTTGGGCTGGCGCCATGAATGTTTTTTGGTTCTCACTGGTGTTCGCCATCAATTGTACGGGCTGGAGTCGCATCCTGAGCAAGATTTTTGTTGGGGTCCCATCGGGTAGCAAGCAAGTGGGGCTGAAGCAACGTTGCAGGCAACTATTAGATTCTTAAATATTGCCAGAAAAGCCTCGCTGCTTCGCGCAAGGTACAGGTGCAACACATGCAATCATAAATGAACTTTAACGGTATGCGGCTGGTGTCCATTAATGCCAAAGGCCCAAGTCGGCCATCACACCCATCACACGCATCTTGAGCAATGAGGGAGGGGCATGCATTTGTAGGTCCAGCGTGACAGAGCCGGTGGGCTGAAGACAATGGAGGGATGCGGTTGATGAAGCTTCTGCCTGGTCCATGTTGAGTACAATGGGTCTGACCATGGTTACCTGCACCATCCTCAAGCCAAGGCTCCAGACCAGAGCCACGCGGTTGAGTCGCCCCGTGCGCCTGGCACACAGCTGGATGAGCTAGCAGCAGAGCTGCTGCTGGTCGATGCTGCTCGGGCTGGCGCCATGATTGTGTTTTGTGTTGTTCTTTTTTTGCTCACTGGTGTTTTCCATCAATTGTACGGGCTGGAGTGGCATCTTGACAAATATTTTGTTGGGGGTCCCATCTGGTAGCAAGCAAGTGGGGCTGAAGCAACGTTGCAGGCAACTATTAGATTCTTAAATATTGCCAGAAAAGCCTCGGCTGCTTCGCGCAAGGTAGAGGTGCAACACATACAATCAGAAATGAACTTTAACGGTATGCGGCTGATGTCCATCAATGCCAAAGGCCCATGCGTGCCATCGCACGCATCTTGAGCAATGAGGTTGCAATGCAGGAGGGGCATGCGTCTGTAATTGTAGGTTTAGCGTGACAGAGCCGGCGGGCTCAAGACAATGGAGGTATGCGGTTGATGAAGCTTCTGCCTGGTCCATGTTGAGTACAATGGGTTTGACCATGGTTACCTGCGCCATCCTCAAGCCAAGGCTCCAGACCAGAGCCACGTGGTTGAGTCGCCCCGCACGCCTGGCAGACAGCTGGATGAGCTTGCTGCGGAGCTGGTGCCGGTCGAGGCTGCTTGGGCTGGCACCATGATTGTTTTTCACTGGTGCTCATCAATTGTGCGAGAAGGAGTTGCACCCTGACCAACATTTGTTGGGGGGTCACATCGGGTAGCAAGCAGGTGGGGTTGAAGCAACGTTGCAGACAACTATTATATTTTTCGGATGTTGCCAGAAAAGCCTCGGCTGCTTCGCGCAAGGTAGAGGTGCAACACATACAATCAGAAATGAACCTTAACGGTATGCGGCTGGTGTCCATCAATGCCAAAGGCCCATGCGTGCCATCGCACGCATCTTGAGCAATGAGGTTGCAATGCAGGCGAGGCATGCATCTGTAATTGTAGGTTTAGCGTGACAGAGCCGGCGGGCTGAAGAGAGGTATGCGGTTGATGAAGCTTCTGCCTGGTCCATGTTGTGTACAAGTGGTTTGACCATGGTTACCTGCACCGTCCTCAAGCCAAGGCTCCAGACCAGAGCCACGCGGTTGAGTCGCCCCGTGCGCCTGGCACACAGCTGGATGAGCTAGCAGCAGAGCTGCTGCTGGTCGATGCTGCTTGGGCTGGCGCCATGATTGTGTGTGTTTTTTTGTGTTTTCCGTCAATTGTGCAGGCTGGAGTGGCGTTTTGACAAAGTTTTTTTGGGGGGTCCCATCGGGTAGCAAGCAGGTGGGGCTGAAGCAACGTTGCAGACAACTATTATATTTTTTAGATGCTGCCAGAAAAGCCTCGGCTGCTTCGCGCAAGGTAGAGGTGCAACACATACAATCAGAAATGAACTTTAACGGTATGCGGCTGGTGTCCATTAATCTCAAAGGCCCATGCATGCCATCGCACGCATTTTGAGCAATGAGGTTGCAATGCAGGAGGGGCATGCATTTGCAATTGTAGGTTTAGCGTAACAGAGCCGGCGGGCTGAAGACAATGGAGGTATGCGGTTGATGAAGCTTCTGCCTGGTCCATGTTGTGTACAATGGGTTTGACCATGGTTACCTGCACCGTCCTCAAGCCAAGGCTGCAGACCAGAGCCACGTGGTTGAGTCGCCACGTGCGCCTGGCAGACAGCTGGATGAGCTTGCTGCGGAGCTGGTGCCCGTCGAGGCTGCTTGGGCTGGCGCCATGATTGTTTTTCACTGGTGCTCTTCAATTGTGCGAGAAGGAGTGGCACCCTGACCAAGAATCTGACAGTTTGAGCTGCAGGACCCATAGGCTTTGAAGCAATGTCGCAGGATGGACAGATGTTGCCAGAATTGTCTTGGCTGCTTCGCGCAAGGTCGTGACACAAGACATGAAAGACTTGAAATGGCTTATTATTGGAGAGGAATTGGGTGGGTTGGGCCAAGGTTTTGCCTTGCCACAGCTGACATCACCGCGGGCCAACAATCCTTTTCCATTCAGTCATTCAGTCATTCAGTCTATGTTGTGCTGGATTCCGGGGGAGGGCTACAAGAGGGCTACAAGTCTGTGGGGAAGCTTGTCGACAAAGGTCGAAATTTGGTGCCCCAGGCTGTGACGGCAGCCTGCCACGCAGTCAGGTCCGCGGCTGCTCGGCAACGCAACGCCGTTGGCAACCGCCAAATTAAATCAACGCTGCGGCCAGAGCATGTCGTTTCGGTGCTTTTCAAGTTGTTGCCCAGAGCAGCTCGACCATGATTAGAAGGTTGAGAGGCATGTGTGCGTCTTGTGGTTGCTTAACTACATGAAGGCCATGCGCCCAGGTGGGCGGCAGAATGGGCTTGTCTAACGCGTAGCCAAGGCTCTACGCTACCACAAGTCTCCTCAGAAGCTGCCGAGTGGACAGGCCATGGCAACACCCCACGGCAGGGAGCAGCGCCCAGTTTTTGACAGCGGACATTTTGTACTGGATTCATACAGGCTTTGGTAAGGCCTATGTCAACCGCCACAATCATGGTAGACGCAGAAGTCAAGGGGTGTTTGGCGCTCAAGTGATAGGCCGATAGGTGGTTTACGGCCAACATGAGGTCAGGGGAAGCTCAGAAGCAAAACCCGGGCCCGTTTCCCTGGCCAGGTGGACAAGTCAGACTCAGCTTCGAGAGCTTGCAGATTGACGGGCCGGGCTGTCGCCTGACTGAGCGGAATGGGCATCCAGCAATGAGGCAGCCATTCACTTTGTGCCTGAAGGCTTAGCAAGGGAATGCTGAAGGTGTTCGGGGTGATGAAACGCTCGCAGGGATGCACCGTTCAGCATTGTTACTCAGTTTTCGGAGCCCCTGGGCTCAATAAAACTTTCTGGTTTAAACCCCGGGTCGCCTTCCAGCTCAATGCTGACCTGCAATCCCCGAGGCGCCGGAGCGCCTCTGGGAGGCGAGGAACGGCAAGATTGACACATCACTCCAAGCGTTTTTGTTCGGGGCGTGTGGCCAAGGTTGTGTTGGGAAGGTTGCATGTTCGACCCGTTTTACTTGATCGGCGCAAAGGTCCCTAAGAGCATCAGGCGTTGTTGTACACAGGTGGAAGACATTTGTTCAAACACGGCCAAAAGCAAATGGCAGGGTTAGGCAGGCAGCTTGAACAGAGTTTACGCCAAGCTGTCATTTGCTGGTGGTGCGGGCCCTTGCAGAGGACCCTGAGGGCCCCTTTTCCCCAGCGCGGTGACAAAGCACGTAAAGCATCCGACAATATCCGACGGCATGTCAGCCATTTTCTTTTGGCCGTTGAGCCATGCTTGTACTACCATGCTTGCCTTTTTGCCGGGCAGAAATCAGGCGCATGTCACGTCGTGGTATCACTAAAGCTCCTAGTTTTGCGTGTCAACGCGATGTCTGGACACCAACCGTTTGGAGGTGCCCATTACTTGCGGCGACTGGCCACAGGAATTCGGCAGGTGCCCAGCCCCTGGGAAGCATAGACTCAGATCATTCGCGGTGCCGCGCGAATCAACATGAAGCATGTCTTAACATGTCTTGCCGGTGGTTCGGCTCGGCTGTGAATTTAAATTAACGCTTTGGTGCACATCATTTAGGTGGGGATTCATGTCCACAAACCACTTTGCAGGTGGTTTCACTCCAACCGTTGTCCGCGGGTTTCGCGGTTTTGCAGAAGCCCTGGCCCTCCGGCCGCGCCAATCTTCACGAACCTCGGGTAGGACTGCCTCGGACGGCCTACAGGTCAAGGGTCGACCCGCAAAAAATCCACCCTCTACTTCCGGTGCATGAGCTGTATTGCAGAAAGGGCGGCACTTGAATGAACCTGCGGTTCTTTTGGAAGGCTAGCTGTTTCGGGAGCCGGGCAGAGACAGGCTAGGGCTGGGAGGCTGTGGCATAGCAAAGGGACTTTGTTGGCGGGCTTGGGACTTTGTGGTGAATCTGCAGTGAAGGCGGTTGTGACATGGTGCCAGACGTCCCGCATTGGCTCAGGAGGTGCTGCCATTGGGCGGGAGGTGCGTGATTCTTTGCTCATTTTGCCAAGCGGTTGGTTGCGGTCGGTGCCAAACATGAAGCCAAAGCAACCGCGCAACCCATCCCTGAAGCAAGCCAGCTGCAAGCTGGACTCGTCACAGGGTAATCGCATACCCGGCACTCATCCCGCGCATCCCGACAGTATCTCAAACATGATTTGTGTGCTCGAGCCTGTTTTTGCCAATTAGAACTGGCACGGTACGCCGGTCATGACATATTGTTGGCCAACCCATTCGCTTGCCAACCGCCCTCCACAAGCACCCACGCTGCAAAAGCGAACAGGCCATGTTCCAGGCGTGCGCATTGTCAATGCTTGTGCTCGGGGTGGGTCTGACGTTCGGTACCAGGCCAGGAAGGCGTTCATGGCCTTCATTGCACAGGCATTCTTCGGTGCAAGACATTGGTTGGATCCCCGAGTTCTGCAGCGGGCGGTTACTGAGGTCAATCCAAACAAGTAATAAAGCGGCCACGTATAGGCACGATGCCATGTGGCAGGGGGCTCTCTGTTGTTCCAAAAATCAGTGCCAATGGTCAGCGCCTTGGGCTCCTCTCGCTACGGTCATCAGCGAACAGGGCAGCTGTGCCAGGTGCCCAAGCGAATCGCAGCAAAGTTGCCGGCCAGAGTGGCTTGCGAGCACCAGGCAGGGAAGCGATAGCAAGTGCAGATACCTGCGTGTCCGTAACAGTCCTGTTGCAAAAGCGCCGCCCTTCAGGTAACCCGGTAACCCCTTGGTTTGGATTGGGCCCTCCAAACCAACCCAAAAGGGCGAAGCCGGGGATTTGGCCGGAGGCCTGGGGTCTTCACCGGGTCTTCCCGGAATGCGGGCACGCACCTTGTCGGAACGGCGGTTGGGGGCGTAGGGCTGGCGGTTCCGTTTCGAGCCCGGAATTTGTTGCCCGGGGTGTCAAACGTTGCACGGCTTGGCCCAAAGGAGGGCGATCCCAGGGTCACTAAGTTAGGAGCCAGGGGTTGGGAGGTGAAGGTTGGTACGGCTGTTTCGTGCCATTGTAAAATCAAACCATATAGTCTGAAACCCATTTAACCAGGGTGAAGACTTGAACTCGATGCTTGCCAAAGAAGATGCATTTGCCGAATCCTGAAGTCCCAGCAAGCGGCATTGACAGATCTCAAGCAAACCAAGTAGCCACTCACAAGGCGGAAGAGGACGGATATGTTTCTCACACTTGTCCGACTCTTGAAGGAAGCCCGAGTTGAATCTGCCAGGGCTTTTTTTGAGACCGGTGTTACCAGTTCCCACCCAATGAAACCAATTGGGTTGAAAGGTGAAGGGTCGCGGCCCAAAAGCAGACTGCTTGGTTGAAACAGGCTAGGGATGCTCACGTTGGTCAAAGTAGCTCCCACTCACATAGAATTTCAACCGGCTATGTGACAGATGGCCCTCGGTATGAGGCAGATGCAGCGTTTGGGGTGCGAGTGGGTTCGGCTGAGACAATCTCGCCATTATTGGTGCACAGAGCTGTTGTTATGGAGTTATGGATGCTGGTGGTATGTTGAGAGGCAAAGAGGCGCCCCCGTTTGTGTCGGGGCGCCTTCCCGCCTCGTTCGTGTTTGATCCATGAAGGGTGCTGGCGAAAGGTGCCGATGATGGCGATGCTACCTGCATATGCACAGCCCGCAGCTTGCCTACGACCAAAGCGCATGAGCTGAACCCTGATGGCCAGGAGTGTTGGTCACGTTTGTTCTCAGTGCTCAGTTTTTTTGTTAAGCCACGGCCTTTTGCCAGGTCACGGCTCCTTCCTTTGGTTTTTGACTGGGAAGCTACCCTCGTTTGCAGCGCGAGTTTTGGGAAGGCTTCCTTTCACTTGACTGGAGGCGAGGGAGGGTCAAACAAAGCCAGATGTGGATGGCTAGACGGCAGTGTTTGGGCCTCCCCCTGCATTGGTGATGGGCTCCAGGGGGTGGCCTGATGAATTTCTTCAGGCGAGGTGTTTTGCCAGGTTCGCTGAAGTTTGAGGATGTTTGAGGGCTTCAGTCACCCAAGCAAAATCCTTCCCGGAGGGCTATGTTCAAGTCACCTCACCGCTTAAGTGGGGCCAAAACCTGTGGCAAAAGCTTCTTCCAAGAGCCATGCCACATCCAAGTCCCGGGATCGAGATCGTCGAGGCCGGATGCCGTGGCCCTTTGTGCTGTGTTTTTTTTTTTTAATGGGAGCCCTCTGCCAAAGTGGCTGCCATGTTTGCTCGATGGGCGGCACTTAGCGCAAGTTCTATGGGGCAGCAATGCTGGTGGGAGTCCTCTGCTTCCATTACCCACGATTTGTGTCCTCTGTTCTCGCCAAGTTGGCTAGCTCATGGTGTGCCAGGGGAGGATATCTTTGGCGTTCAAGGGCATGACAAATGTGTTGATAAAATTATTGTGGAAGGGCATATTTGGGCGCAGAAACATTTGGACTTCTCAGACTCAAAGAGGAACATTCCTTGCGCGTCGCACCCAGCTGTTTCACATGTGCTGCGCACGGCTCCGGCTGCTTTCTTCTTGGAAGCCGCCGGTGGCGGTCGCCTCAAGTGGTCAGTCGCCAGATTTGCTGAACACCGCGATTGGAGGCTTCGCTGGCCCAAGATCAGCTTCGACAAGCAGATGCCAAGGCGACGGCTCACAGGAATGTATGCTGGAGGCTGAAACCATGGCTTGGGGAGTTCTGTGATGTGTGCGGGGAGGCGTTGATTTTGTGGGGGATAGTGCCTGCATGCACCATTTGTTGCAGTTGCGGAACTGATTGTTTGCATGTTGGCCATTGCATCTGGCTTGAACACTTGAACTCGACCATTGCAACCGTGTATGCTTGTTAGCCATTTCAAAGAGCCAACTACACTGTCGACAGCCAGAGAGCCCCCGAATGGCAGCCTTTGGAACAGCCAGTCTTCCAGTTGGGTCTAGCGCTATCTGTGCCTGGCGGTCTCTCGCAGCAAGTTTGCCTTTCCAACTGCACAGTTCAGAGTTGAAGCTGACTCTGTTGGCCTTGGTAGGGTTGTGGGCTATGACCAGCCACAACCCTGGCCAGGAGCCTCCGCAAGACTGCAGCTTCCACCGCTGAGTGTCCGCGAGGGCGGCTTGAGTGCAAGACGGGCGCTGCTTTCCAACGCGATTTGGAGGTTAACGTGGCTCAGGCGTTGGTAAACTATTTGAGGCTGATTTTCAGTTTGAGCCATCAAAGCTTTACCTGCGGCCTGCCTTTCAATTCATTTCGTGGCTTCCGGTGGGCCCCTTTCAGCCAGATTTTGATTCTCACTCATATGCCCCCTACGTGCCCCTTGAAGCACGTTTAGCTAGCAGCCGCGCACCTGCGTCTTTGAAGCATAGCCGTGTCAGTGTGGCGCTGGAGCTTGAGCAGTGATGCTCCTTGGAAAGCTGCTCTCATTCATTGTGGCCTAGTACCTTGCATGTTTCTCAAGCAACTTGTTTTTCGGGTTCCCAAACCGTATCCTCAAGGTCGGGCCCCTCTTGAAAACAAACTTGGTTTTCAGCGCGCATAAGGCGCGCACCGCATGCGGTACTGTTTTATGCAGTCTAGGAATGGATGGTTTATAGCTCAAATATTGATCCATCTACGAGCTTATTCGCATATCCCACATGGCTACCAGTTTGAGCCTGACTTGCTGGTCAACTGCTTGCAAGCGGCATTGGCCGCTTTTGGCCACCAGAGCCATTTGTGATTTGTGAGGTTGGCGATTCACTATGAGGGTCAGCAGCGTATCAATAATTCAATTATATATATTATAGGGTTATGTTATGACGATGTATAGGTATACCCATGCATGTGCAAATATGCGCGCGTTTGCCACGCAAATTCTCGCACACGCCTGGATTGAGGCCGGGGCGCTTCGACCACCCCTGGCTTCTGCCTTCGGCGCAGGGCCTTCGACGCCTGAGGCTTGGGGGGGGGGGATGGGGGAGGTAATATGTCAATGGTGGATGGAGTGCATCTGGAAGTCCATGGTAGGATTGTCTTGCGGGTATAACCTGTAAAGCAGTCCGCAAGTAATCCCTTTTCTCTGCCTGCACGTGTATGGTGTACAGTGGCAATACAGAGTAGAAGAGGGGCCTTGAGCCAAAATGGTTGCATGGAGATCAAAGTATGAATCAAACACAAAAGACACAATTCTTTTTGATCCCAGCACTGAGTTACTATAATAGTATTATTTTAATGCTGGCTTCATGGCCTTTGACCGTAGCCAATTGAAACTTTTTTGAATGCCGTAGAGTTGAAAACTCATTCTTCATCCTCTTTTTGTCTTGGATGAATTGTTTCGTCTGCGGTCAACTGGACAAGGTTTTTTTTGTAGACACTCTTGGGAGCAATGGGTGAGACAACTCCGGGAAGGCAGGCATTGCATTGCTATTGCCTGACGAGAAGAAGTCTTGCAGAAAGAACAAGGGGGCCCCTCTGTATCCCTCTGTCAATTCCAAGAAGAAAGGGTCATCCATGCCGGCTCCTAAGCTGTCAGCCTCACCTCCTGTGCCTCAAAAATCTCAGCCGGCAGAGAACACGCTAGTCGAAAATCACGCATCAATTCCTGAACAAGCACATTGGAACTCGAGATCTTTGCAGGAAGTGCCAGATTCAGTCAATGCTGCGCACTTACAGGTCTAAAGGTTGGGACTCCCGTTGACAGTCGCACGGATTTGACGTAATGACGACGACGCGCGGTCGCGGAGATCATCAAGGAGCAAGCGCCTGATCTCATCCTCATGGTGCCTGTCTGTGGACCATGGTCGAATATGCAGAACATCCAACAAGACCAGAACAGGGTCTGGGAGAAGCGAAAGCGTTCCTGCCAATGATTGAAATTGTGGCATCCATTGCGCGATATCAGTTGAAGCACAGAAGATATCTTATGATTGAAAATCCTCAGACACCCATCCAGGATCTAGTGTTTGCGTTGCGTGCATCAACTACTTTCAGATTCATCCGTGACCTGGGGAGACTCCCACTTCTGCGCATGCGGACTGAAGGATCCTGAATCCGGACTCAGAAGTGTCATTCAACAGCTCGGTGAAGCATGAACATCAGCCTCTTGAGGGCAACGCAGGAAGACTCGGAAGCAAAATCAATTGGCACAGGTCTATGCCTTGCGCGCAGCATTCTGCGACACTTGAAGGTGAAGCCGCTGGACAACGAAGTGTACCTTCTCGAGGACATCTTCGAGCCCTTCACCAATCAGCAGGTTGACCTTCTCAGAAAGGAGACGGAAGCCATCGACAAGGAGTTCAACATGACTAGCAGCAGCAACGCTGTTAAGATCCAAGATCTCCCATTCAGCAAGATAATGTTCAACCGTTAGTCATCCAAGATCCGCTTGTCCAAAAGTTTCAGAGAACATTGAAGCAGCGCATCTGGGACGGAGGTCTATTTGTTTGACAAGTTTTGAATGACTGGCGATGTCAGCACATGCAAGAAATTGAGACAACTATGCATCTCATCCACTCAGTACGAATGCACAGCATACGTTCGCGCAATAGGCATCAATATGCCTCTCACATCACCTTCGGATGATGCGTGGCAACCAGATCAGCTGAACGGAATTTGGGTCACGCCTGCAATTAGGAAGATTTTGGTCCGAGAACGTGTCACGCAGTCCTGCATTCATCCGTGCATCATCCATTCTGAGATGCTCCAGCCATCAAACCGATGCATATTGTAGCAGATCTAACGGATCCGCCGGCTGAACCTCAGCAGCCTGATCAGCAGCAGCCACCAGATCAACCAGAATCCAAGACCTCCAAGCCGTCGCAGGGCGTATCAACAAACAGCCCGGTAGATCCACCATCGCTGCCGCCACGTGACAACCCGCGGGCAAACGGCAAAAACAATCAATTTCGTCCTCAAGTAAGTGGAGTCAATCGATTTGGGGGGCGATGTCTCTTTGCCGTCACAGCCACGGCCATCTCAACCGATTCTTCCAACTGTCGTGGTACCTTCACCTCCGGCAACCTTGACCACTCGTCAACGAAGACAACGATGAAGAGCCTGTTGAGCAAGAAGAAACAACTCCACCAATGGAAAGCAGTCCACGAAAGATGCAGAAGACTGGGAAGAAGAAGCCAGATGATGAATCACCTGAGCATTCACCCAGGAACGAACTTGCCTCTTCATCCAACTTCAACCCAAATGATCCAGTGAATTTGCCAGTGCAATCTGACAGTGAGGATGAACTCACGTTCCAACTTCATCAGGCCATGAGATATACTGCCTAGGAATCAGACGACCCTGAAGGGACAAGAGCACACGGTGATCAGGAAGCCGACCTCGTTCTCGGTGAAGCACATTGGTCATACATGACAGCTGAACAGAAGACCCGTGCTAACACTGGATACAAGGGAATCGTGTCCTCCTTGTTCCAACAACCATTCAAGTGTGGATTCTCTTATCAGAAATACACAGACAAGGAGAGAGACGATGACCGAGCACTTTTAGTCTTGTACCCATCCAAGCAAGAATGTTTTAAGGCTTCACCCACATCCCCACTCATTGGAGCTACTGAGACAAGAGCTTTGTGTTCGACCTAGTCGACACACGTAAGATCAATGTCAGGAATTGGGTCACAGGTCGTTGGGTCTTTACCCTAAAACGAGACAAGGATGGAAACTTTATGAAGACTAAGGCTCGCTGGGTCCTACGGGGTTTTCAAGACAAGCAGAAGAATGAACAGCAGGCAGATAGTCCTGCCGCATCCAGGAGTGGCTTCCGCCTTGCAACCCACCACAAGGCAGCGTCTCTCCAAAGAAAAAGCACGCGAGCAGAATCGTCACATAGTTTGTCAGATCCCTCCTGAAGTGGGACACCCGGTTGGTTACAATCGCGAACACAATTCCACATTGGTTACCAATTCTCCAGGTGCGCATCCAGAGCAGCATCACCTACCCTTGCGGACGTTCGCGCCATCAATGAGATAGTCAGAGCCATCGCGAGCATTCCGCTTAGCATGAGATTCTGGCCCCTTCGTGATAAGACACGCAAAGTTGGTTATCCAGATGCATCCTACCGCAGCAATGAAGATACATCTTCTCAACGCGTGCATGTTATCTTTCTTTCAGAAGAACGAGATCTTCGTAAGGGTTCATCGAACTCGAGAGGCTCATTGGTCGATTATGATCTCAAGACGCATAAGATCACCGCTACAACAATGTCCACGACTTTTGCTGAATTGCATGGAATGATGCGTTGCTATGGTTCGTCACTTGTTCTTCGCGGTCTCTGGTCAGACATCACAGGCGAGATTGCAGATGTTCACATCCGAACCGATGCCAACAATCTTGTTACAACAGCCTCAACAACTCATCACCCTGAGCAGAAACGAAGTGGAGATTGCCTTGCAGATTCGCTGACCAAACATTCAGCCAAAGCAGTCTTGTTGATCATTCTTTGGCGTATTGAGAGGATGAGCAGGTTGTTTCCCGCAGCTCTTCGGCACGAAAAGGAGAAAAGACATCGCAATGCAGCATTGAAAATCATCAGCCACGCGCCGACCTTAGTGATCAACCGACCGGGTATCTTTCTCAGGACCATGTTCCCGAAATATGGCAAGGGCCGCTTCGAGATTGCATTCGTGTTCCCATCCTTCGGTGGCTCATACAAAGACCGCGCTGCATCAGGTCAAATCGTTCCACCACACCGATGGACCGATAATCTTACCAATCGGACAGCATACGTGGCACTTCGACTCGAATTCGATGATTGCCAAAATATGGAACTGCACATTCGGTGCAGCAGCGGCCATACCAGGAACGTCAACATCGAGACTCTCGGCCGACCATTGTGGCGTGAGCGGAAGGACACCAGTCGACCATTTTTCCACACGCCGATAACCTTCATGACGCATGCAACTCACGAGGACGAGATCCACAAGATTATGGAGCATGGACTCCAACCAGGAAAGGGCATGACCCCACAGGGGACGAATGCATGTTCACATGACGTGCATAGACGATGTCATCCTGGATGATGAATCTCCCGATGAGGCATTGCAACATGTACCTGCTGAACGAAATGCCATGGTTATTTTTGGGTTTACCAAGGAGAACAACCTTTCTTGCCGCCCTTGCGAATATGCAATTGACATGTTGAACATTCCTTGCGTATTGCAGTGTATTCTGACTCGTCTTGTTTTGGGGGCTTCTGGAAAAAGTGCATGCCAAAACTAAAACCCCGCTGTCGTAACTCAGTGGTCATGTGAATGACAACCGCCTTTTCCAAGTCACGAGCATGCACAAGTGAGCAAGCGACAAGCGTAGCTGATATACAAGTATCCAGACCAAGCCATCAACGCAACATGCTCCAAGAAAACCTGTCTGCACTGAGACCCCGCCAACATCAAGTCGGGCGTGAGAAGTCCGCCGCGGGCTCATGTACGTAGAACGTTAACATATGTGCCAGCATGTGCACATGTAAGCCTGCAGCGCGTGGACGGGCACATGGACATATGTGCCAGCATGTACGCAAGTAACCGTGCAGCGGGCACGTTAACCTATGTGCCAGCATGTGCGCATGTGACCATGCAGCATGTACGCAAGTAACCATGCAGCGTTCCAATATGTCCCAGCATGTGCGACACAGGAAGCCATGCATCCCGTGGAAGGCTATTCCGACTCGCAAAAAATGGTGTCGAATATGCCACATACAGCAGCATTCCTGCACGAGTTATGCGGAAAAAACAGGCTGAAACCTGCGTTTCGGGCTCATGAATGGTCAAACAAAAAAGGGAGTTTGCACGCAAAAGCATAGAATGAGCGCTAGTGTGGAAGGAAAAAGCTCAGAAAAAAGCAGGGTTTTTGAGAGTCTGCGTCAAGAGAAGGGCAACGCAAAAAATGGTTTGGGCGGCGAGCCGGTTGGCAACCGCTACGGCATCAAAATATCCGGCGAACGCACTGCGTTGACATCGAAAGCCATTGTGCAACAAAACATCATCGCAGCCTCCAGAACAACTTTTGGCTCATGAAGAAGCACCTCAAACCGGAAGATGTCGAGCAATGCGAACCCATCACCAAGGAATTTGCACAGCGATTCTATGCGCATGTCACTGCCAACATGACTGATCCAGAGAAGTCCACAGAGACAAAGAAGCGACGGCATTCGAACAGCATCACGTAGAATCCGATCAGCAAGTGACCATGGAATTCACAAATCCGGTGAACTTGAGCGACTTGATTCAAGGAGTTCAGAAAACCCTCTACGGGGAACTGACCAAGGAGCAGGCAAAGGAAGAGCTCGAGGAAGCCAAGAACAGTGCAAGATCCATCATGCAATTGTATGAAGTAGATCCACGACAAGTACAAAAATCAGACAAAATCAGGATATCCGATCCGCTTGCCCATAGGAATGAAGACACTCAGGCACAATGCAGATGCCAAGGTGGTCAAGGCATTCGCGAACATCCTGGGCATGCAAGCATCCACGTCGAGCGTGACGAGAACTATGTGTTCACCTCCTTCATGCAGATAAATCAATGTGCTTACCATGAACCATGGCAAGATCACCAAGAATCCGAAGATCAACGATCACGAATTGCGAGACATGCCGAAGATGCTTCTATGCAATTCTGCACAGATGATCTGCTTGAATCATGGCATGCAAGACCCATCGCAAATTTGGCAACAAGCAAGCAAGAGTCGAGCTCCTGGCGCGGTACATATCCGATAGCGCTTCCAGCTGGAGAACCACCGTTGGTGTGTTCAGATGTTTCTTTGGCACCGGGGCCAACAACAACGACCCTGCATACGACCATCCGACATCCGATTGCTTGGCCACTACGGGAATGACAATGTTTGTAAGAAACAGTCCAAAATTCACTGGAACTCGATTGCCACCGCGCACCATTGACACAACAAGGAAATCATGAGAAGAATGATGAAATCCGAAAGCAACTTCAACTTCCAATCCCAAGGTGAGCTACGACCATCGCCGCATCACAAATGAGGAACTCTGAGTTGTTTCTTCGATGGTTGAAAAAGCTGAGAAGCCTGCACAGGTACACAATGGTTGTGCCCTTGGGAAAGTACTGCTTCAGCGTGTTCTTGAAGTAGTTAGCACCTTCTACGGGATCTTGAAGCTATGTATTGTCGAGAACTTCCTTGTACATGTATGCATCTCCAATTAGCGTGCTTTAAAGGAGTGGTCCTCTTTTGAATGCTTCAATGGTAGTGAAGGTTGTCCAGTCATCGACGAGTTGTTCACATATCTGAACCAGCTGACTTTTCCGTCGTACGATGGCGGCTGCTTGGCGGTCATTGAGCGTTTCCTCAGTGAATCCATGAAGCCATCTGATGACATCTCGTATGCATCGATGCGGGAAAACCCGCTCCGCTGCCGGGGGGCAATTTGCGAGGCCACATGATTTGCATGGGATCATTCCGGCGTTTGTGGGGTAGTTTCGCCTGGGAGACCTGGCCTGCCTGCCCTTTCAACTGCAGGCTAGATGTTCCAGAGCTTCAGCGAAGTTCCGCATGCCGCCACGTCAGCACAAATCCTGGCTTCCTTTCAACATAACATAGCCACGCTTGAACGTGTGCAAACGAGTTGTCGTGTTGAGATGCTGCAACCAACAATTCTGTATGTTTGTATGTTTGCTCGAGGGCGTGTTGAAAGGAGCGCCGTTCTGAGCGCCATTTAGAGCCCAGAGGGGCTTGCGTTATCCGCGGAGCGGTAGCCAAGCTCCGGGAATTTACTCGCGTGCGAGTTGTGTGTGGGCCTTGGGCCGGGACCTTCGCCTCGGCTCGCTCACGTCTCACCTCCCAGCCGTAGCGCCGTGCGGCAAGTGGCCCCAGCCAGAATCCGACAATGTGCCCCGCAAGTTTTGCTAGGTGGGCGTATTTGAAGACCGTAGCCAAGACCCAGCAAGGAATTCAGTGAACCATTGGTTTGTTTGGCACATCCAGGCCGCCTTCCCATCAAAGCCCTACAGGATTTGCGTGTATGTCGTCAAGTCCGGTGTGCGTGGGTCATTTGTGGGTTTGGGCTTTGAGAATTTTGAGGCTTGCAGACAAGTCTATCTTCGGGTTTTTCTCATGGAATGGCCAGCCGCGGCTCTGCAGTGCATGTAGCTAGGGATGTTCCCCTGCACTGACAATATTTCGCATCGGGGGATTTGGTAACAAGAGTGTCGAGTGAAGTGCAGGAACAACATCTCACTTCCATGGAATTTATGCATGTGAGACCAGGACGCTTTGATATTCATGGAAAAAGTGGGCTGCTTGGGCAAGACGGATGTGGGACAGAAGGGCGGAGAAATGAAAAACGTGCTGTGCTCATCGGCCATGGCAGTGGGGTCTGGAGGAAGGACATCGTTTCGTGTAACAGGGAGGGGTCACCGTGCATGAGAAACACGTTGACATATGAGAGCGGCCTCATCATGTAGCAAACATTCTTCGCACTGGAGTTTGGCCATGGCTCAGAATGTGATACCAGATTGGAGTCATGGGCCGCGAGGCGCATCAGATGCACTAAGGTGTCAAGCACGCGGCCTTCAACTGTCCAGGCATTGTTTGAACTCATCAGGAATTCGATGATATGTATATATGCATATATATATATATACTGAGATTCGTACAAGCAATGCCGTTTCTTCCATATCCAGGCAAGTGAATCAACTGCAGGTTCCGCCAGCGTCCCAGTGCCAAGAGAAAAGGACAGATACATCTGGCAGCCAGTGGCTCAAAAGGTTTGGCTCGTATGGAGCGCTCTCCGTGGAATTGAAGAGTTGGCGCCTAAGAGGTGGAAAGTTTGGGGCCGCTAGATCTTCGGGTGATGCTTTGCGTCAAGACGCATTGGGTTCTGATGCACGGTTGATGTACATGGTGTCATGGAGTCGTTTGGACAGTTTGACGCAAGTCCAAGGTGAGTCACAATCAAAACTTGGGTAGATGAAGGTTAGTAAGGGACGATCCCAGCTATAAATAGCTACGGCCGCCTTCTTAGTTCTTTACATGGTTCTGGGTCGATGTGTACCGGGTTTTGATTGTGACTCAGGTTTCTTTGGGGTGAACAGGTGCTTTTGGAGTTGGGAGAAACCAGGCGTGCCTGCCTAGGGGGAAAATGAGCAGAGAAGAGAGAGGAGAGAGGACAGAGGAGGGAGAACCCCGGCATTCTGATCCTTTGGGCCCTTCCCAGCAACCGATAAACTAGCCGCGACTGGCTAGGCAACTGAGATGGAGCCTAAAAGCACGCCATTTTGTGGGAATCTCATTTTGGAGGACGTGACGTGTTTGTTTTAAGGAGATTAGGACGCCCCTCTTGCTTTGACCCTGAATCTCCGGGCTCAGGATGTGGCAGGCGTGCTGGGTGTGCCTGCAGAGCTCCAAGTGAAGAACAAACGGGAAACATCAAGCCCAGACGGGAAGAGAGATGCCCAATTGCTTGCTGCCTTTCCTGTTTGAAAAGAACCTTGTTGGCGTGCATCAGTTTTACATTCCATGTTTGTGTGTTTGGCAGTTTGATCAGTGGTGAAGCTTCCTATGATGGCTACATTCCCACATTTGCGAGGTGCAGGTAAGCCCCTGCCCCTTCAACCCGAAATGAAAGCGACCTCACACAGACTGATGTCCACCGGCCTTGCTCGATGAGCTGACCGTGACAGCGCAAAAGCTTGTCAAGTGGCCTCAAGCCACCCTTGTGTTAATTGGTTGCCGGGGTTGCTTAGGTGCCCAAAGCCAATGAAATGTGAACTTTCAATTGTTTCAGTGCTCTCCCATTTGCGACGTGTACTCGCTCCCTCTCCCTAGGTACTGATTTCAAGAGAGAGAGAGAGAGAGAGAGAAAACAAACAACAAAACAGCTTCTGGTGTACCAGAGCCACAAACCGGGCAGCCTCCCCCCAGCGGTGGCCCGCTCGGGATCAGGCCCGGGACTGGCTCCGCATGCGTCATTGCCAGCCAAACAGCTAGAACAAACAAGGGGAGGGAGGGGGGAAGCCAGTGCGTTACCGAAATCGCCCTGAAAGGGCCCAGGTTCCCACGCCAACCGGGAGCCCGCACCACCCGGGCGTGAGCCCGAGCCACCCACCACGGAGCCGTCAGCCAGGATGGCAGCAAAAGCGCTTGCACTTGCTCGGGTCTGCTGAACACACCTGTCACCACAAAGCCGTCCTCCAGGACGGCAGCAAAAGCACTCTGAGTTGATTGGATCTACTGGACGCGCACCAAAAGCTCTCTTTCCACCTGGCTGCTGTCACCGCCAAAAACACAATCTCCCTAAGTCAGATGTGAGCCCGCGCCGCCCGTGCAACACACTTGTCACCACAGAGCCGTCCTCCAGGATGGGAGCATAAGCACTCTGAGTTGATTGGATCTGCTGGCGCCAACTGCTCTCCCACCTGGCTGCTGTCACCGCCAAGGACACGATCTCCCACCCGGGTGTGAGCCTGCTCCACCCGGGCGTGAGCCCGAACCACCCACCACGGAGTCGTCGTCCAGGATGGCAGCAAAAGCACCTGCGCTTGCTTTGGTCTGCTGAACACACTTGTCACCACAAAGCCGTCCTCCCGGATTCTGCCGCGTGGGCCGGCGTGGGGCCGCAAAAAAAACAAGAGAACAAAACACACACAAGAGGAAAAAGGCACTGTCGCTCCGAGGGCGAAGGGGGAATCATGAACCAGGTGCTGACCGAAACGGAAAAAGGAACGAACAAAAAACAAACACAAAAAGAATCAGGTCCTTATTGCCGCCCCCTGGAGTCCTGGTCCACGCACCATTCCCAATTCGAAACCGCCCCCGGACCCAGGGGGGGGGTACTGATTTCAAATGATCTCGTTAGGCGTCATCACCCCTTACCAGGAGCATTGGACATGACAAGCAAGAAAATGCAGAGGGCGATGCCTGAAAACGGATGATGAGGCCACCCTAGTCACAGCATGTGCCTTGATCATCATCTCGCACAACTCGGGGAACATTCATCAAACTGTATAGGACGCATCAGGGTCGTCAAAGCCATGATGAGTTCATCGGTCCTGTTGAATAGGAATGCTCGTCACTTCCATGCTGTTAGGTTGAAAGGTGTTATATTTCAAATTCGCAATTTGCTAAAGCGCCCGTTTCCGAAAACCAGGTGACAGGCAGTAAGACCACCCGTCTATAGCAAACAAAAACTTCAGCATAAATTCCCATACCGTAAACAAAAGAAAAATATCAAATAAAATCTACACACTAGACCACGGTTGGCCCGAAAGCATCACAGCCCGGCGATCATTCCCGCGCAAGTTTTTTGCTCGATGTGGTCACGTGCAGCGCACAGCAACTAACCTTGTTCCTGCTTTCTTGCCGCCTATCGGACCGCCCCTCACACGAGTTTGCCAAGCACAGCAACTAACCTTGTTCCTGCTATCTTGCCACCTATCGGACCCCCCCTCACACGAGTTTGCCAAGCGCGTCAAAGATGACACGTATACCGCCCTCGAGCAAAACAGTGACTACAACGCAAGTGACTCTCATGATGACTCTGTGCAATGACTCTCATGATGATTCTGCGCAATGACTCTCAAGATGACTCTGTGCAATGACTGTCGTGATGACTCCGTTCAATGACTCTTGCGTGATGATTCTATGCAACGGCTGTCATGATGACTCTGTGCAATGACTCGTGTGTGATGACTCTATGCAATGGCTGTCATGATGACTCTGTGCAGTGACTCTCATGATGATTCTGCGCGATGACTCTCATGATGCCTCTGTGCAATGACTCTCATGATGATTCGGTGCAATGACTCTCATGATAACTCTGTGCAACGACTCTCGTGATGACTCCGTTGAATGACTCGTGTGTGATGACTCTACGCAATGGCTGTCATGATGACTCTGTGCAATGACTCTGGTGTGATGACTCTATGCATGGGCAATGACCCTCATGATGACTTTGTGCGAGCGCTCTCGTGATGACTCCGTTCAATGGCTCTTGTGCGATGACCCTATGCAATGGCTGTCATGATGACTCTGCGCAATGACTCTCATGATGATAGTTCTCCCAACGGAACACCTGACTTTTGGTCTGCCCAAGTTGCCCTGCGCTAGCTGCTATGTGCAAGTGCTCTGTGCAATTTGCTTTGCGCACGTTGCTCTGCACAAGCGGCAGCGCTCTGTGTGCAAGTTGCTCTGCGCAAGTGCTGCCGGAGCTTTCGGGAAGCGCTTCGCATACTAGTTTTCTGATTGAAAAGTTCCATTATGCAGCCGGAGCCGTACTACAGTTGTACTTAAAAGTTGTGATTTTCCAGCCGGAGCTGCGTCCGCATACTACCTGCGCAAACCGCGCGACAACTTCCAAAGACAACAAATTCGCACGGCGCCACAGCGAGAGCGCTTCGACACGCGATCCTCGCAGAGGGTCGCACAAGCATATTCAGAATCGAAAAAACCCGTAGTTTTTGCACAACCAATCCACGCCGATCCCCGCAGAGGGTTCATGCTGGAATTTCAATATCGCAAAAACTCAGTTTTTTGACCTCGACCGCACGAATCTCCGCAGAGGGTCGCGCGCGCACCGCACACATCGTAAAAAGTCCTCAGTTTTTGGACCTCGACCGCACGAATCTCCGCAGAGGGTCGCTCGCACAGATCAGAAATCTTAAAAAGTCCTCAGTTTTTTGACCTCGACCACACGAATCTCCGCAGAGGGTTGATTTTCGTTTTCGTTCAGTGCTGTCGGCCCTACCCCGCCGCCCTAAGAAGACTCGTCATGAGTGAGAACTCTCATGGGCATTGCTCCTCGCCAGTGACTCTCACGAGCATTGCTCCTCGCAAGTGACTCTCATGAGCATTGCTCCTCGCCAGTGACTCTCACCAGCATTGCTCCTCGCAAGTGGCTCTCTGCTATGACTCTGTGCAATGACTCTCATGATGATGACTCTGTGCAATGACTCTGATGATGATGATGACTCTTTGCAATGATTCTGATGATGATGACTCAGTGCAATTACTCTGATGATGATAACTCTGTGCAATGATGATAACTCTTTGCAATGACTCTCATGATGATGATGACTCTGTGCAATGACTCTGATGATGATAACTCTTTGCAATGACTCGCATGAAGCCAACGGAAGAACCCTTCGCTATGCTTTCGGGCATATATATATATATATATATTTTAACGCACGTATCAAGGCGCAGCAGAATCCCTTGGTGACCTTTGGTGGCCTTGCTTCCTCTTCGCCTTCGTCGCCAGGCGCTGTTATTGATCCCAGCAGCAGCCATCAATGCCCGGGGCAGCAGCAGTTGGGGCACCCAGAATGCACAGCCCGGTTTGCCTGTCAACCCTGTAGGCTTTCAGAAGGTGACAGCTTCCCAACTCAAGCTGCCCCATATCGAACGCTATGTTTCTTGGTGTTCAACAGCTTGTAAGAGAAGGTAGGGGCGAAGGTTCTTTGAATCCTGCCCCAAAGCAGCCATTGCAATCACGCCCTGATCAAAAGGTTCCCTCTACTGTTGAGTGGTAATGGAGTGTAGCGCTCATTGGGCCTGGTGCCCGGCTTCCTCTCCCAGGCATGCTGACAGCCAATGCCTCAGCCAACAAGAGGTCAGCGCTTGCATTGAGATTCGGATCCATTGTTTTTTTCCAGACCTTAGCCTTGCGTCCATGCTGGGAAAAAAGAATAGTCAGCCATGTTCGCTGAAGATTTCACATGGCTAGTGCAGCCGAGCGTTTGCAACCCGATGCAGGCTCTTCATTCATTGAATTGAGCGCATGCCCAATGAGCTGTAATATGTCAGCTCGGGCACCTCGCAGCAATTGGCTGAGAACCTTAACCCGTGATACCATGTTCGCGCAGCTGGTCAGCGAAGATCCCAAGATCTGGGTGGCTGATGATTGCGTGCCCCAGGAGTTTTTAGACCATGTGGACGCAGCATTTGCAGCCAAAGGCCTAGGGCCGCGAGTGGTCGAGAAGTATGACGGCAGGCGCATTCTTGCGCGAAATGTTGACTTTGAAGTTGATGAGCTATCACGAGGAATGTTTGAGAACATTGCCAAGGTGCTAGGCATCACTGAGCTGGATCGCTGTCGTGACTTTATGGTGTCAGAGGTGTGGGCAGACGGTCAGACAAGCCACGTAGACCACATAAATCTGGATGACCTGGCGGCGAATAAGTACAATGTGGATTTTCTTGACCTGAGCAAGCAGAGCTCTTCTGCCGGCAGCCCACGGAGGGTGGTTCCCACAGTCTCCATCGTCGTTTATCTCAATGACGTTGGAGGCATTCGGTTCCCGCATGCCGCGGATGAAGCAGGCACAATTGCCGCAAAGTGCGGCCGTGTGGTCATGTTTCAGAACTACGACGATGTCCACCGACCGGCGCACAAGGCATCTGCAGAGCACCATGGTATATACTTCAAGGACATGCCAAAGCGCATCCTGGTGATGGGGCTCTTGGCAAATGAGAATCCGTCAATGGTAGGGTCCAACCCACCATGGCAAGGGTTGCTTTACTGCGCCGGCACCAGCCGCGACCCACTCTTTCATGACAACCCCTCCTACGAGCCTTGGAAGAAGGCACTTGGAAGACAGACCCGTTTGATCCCTTTACCTTTCCTAAAGCTGTTCAAATGGGTCAGCTGAGGGCCAAGACTTTACTTAAGGAAGTTTAGAAGAAACTTCCGTAGTACTGAGCGGAGGGAGAAGAAAAAAGAGAACAGCAGAAGAGAAGAAAAGAGAGGCGAAGAGAAGAGGTGACAAGTGTTCAGACTGCGCGACATGTGCAGCACTTGGGGTTCCGGGGCAGCGCAAACCACCTCTGGCAGGACGCCTGTGTGCGGAGCAGGTGCGGCACCGGTGGCGCGCACACGCTGCACTTTTTGGCGAAATGAGTCTGGGTTACCGGCGCAGCGCGTCAGCCACCTGAGGACCAGATTGCGTGGCAGGCGCAGCGCTTGATCGACTACCGATCTGATTCCATGACAGGGGGTCAACACTTTTGCAACGTCATGTGCAGAAAGTACTTTCGCGGAGTCAGGCAGAAATTGCTTGACAGGCGCAACAATTTCGCGATGATGGAATGGTTGTTCGGATGGCACAGACGCGTAAACTGTCACGCGCCGATATTGTGGCAGGCGCAGCACTTTGCAAGGTCGAGCGCCGATTTCGTGGCAGGCGAAACACTTTCACAAGGTCAGGCACAGATTTCTTCCCAGGCGCAGCCCCTTTGCAAGGCCGGGGCGGTGCTTCAGAAGACAGATTGACCGATGGGGAAAGATAGATAGATAGCTAGACATAGACAGCTAGATAAATAGAATAGGTTCGGCAAGCGTTAAATAGATAGATAGATAGATGGAAATTGACAGCTGTTAGGTCGAAAGATGCCGAAAGGCAGTTTAGCAAGATAGAGAGATTCATAGCTACATTTCGTGGTTCAGAAACAACTCAGCCAAGAAACTCAAGTGAAAACACAAGGGCCGACAAAAAACAAAACTCAGAAACAACTCAGCCTTCAACTCAGAAACACCTCAGAAAAACACAGGCTTGAACCCAATCCCCCCACTTGAGTTTGAGGCTGAGTCGGGAGCCGGGTTTTTTCTGAGTTATTTTCTGCGATTCTTCAGTTTTTAGAGTTTGTTTGAGTTGTTTTGAGTTTTTGTTTTCTTGGGAAAACTGCAGATTTCCTCCTCAGACCAAACGCAAAACACTCAAAACAAACTCAATAAACTCAATCAACACTCAAAAAGCTCAATCAAAACCCAAAAAACTCAATCACAACTCGAGCAACACTCAAGCATAACTCAGACATAACGCAGAGTACCTCAGAAAAAACTCAGCTCCCGCTCAGCCTCGAACTCGAGGCTGAGCTTTTTCTGATTGTTTCCTGAGTTTTCCTGAGTCTTCTCAGGTTGGGAGGTTTCCAGATTGACCTGAGTCTTCCCAGGTTGGGAGTTTCCAGAGTGAGTTTGTGTTGAGCTGCCTTGTGTTTTCTAAAAGGATATAGGTTAGAGAGATAGAAGGATGGGTTTCATATATGTTAGTAAGATAAAAATAATTAACAATTGACATTAGATACATAGAAAGCAAAATTGGAAAGAATAGATAGTGAGCCGAATAGATGAGCAAACAAACGGATAGAAAAGCAAAGCGGTTGATTGGCTAGGAAGATGACATAGCTAGCAGACAGGGATAGATTGGTCGATTGATAGTGAGTGGACGGGTGGATGGATGGACACCACCCCCCACCACCTTCCACCACCCAACCAAACAGATAGCTAGATAGATAGACACAAGGTGAATACATAGAAGTAGGTAGGTACAGAGATAGATAGGTAGGTAGACGCCTAGGTAGATACGTAGGTAAACAGGTAGAGAGAAAGACGCGTTGATAGATAGAAGGATCGGGGAAAGAGAAAGAGATAAAAACAGAGAAAAAGGAGAGCAAATGAAAGAGAAAGAGACCGAAGAAAATCAGAAAGAGACAGAGAAAATGAAAGAGAAGAGAAGAAAAAAAACGAAAAAGATAAAGAGGAGAAAACGGACAGGATGCAAGAAAAGAAAGCAAACATATTTTTAAGAGACTTCCGACAGCCGGCTCTGCCGGCTCTACTGTATCGTTCATATCGACTCACTTGATTTCATCGCGCGAAAGTGCCTACTTGGCTTGCAATATCAGCGCTTTAGCTCGGCCACTTGCTGCGCTGTTTTGAAGTGTAAGAGCAGACTGTGTGTGTGTGTGTGCGTGCGTTTTTTGAGGGCACCTCCTCCCCCATTAGGCGCTTTTTACAGGGAAGCCACACGGAAAACCATTTTTTTCTTTTGGGAGGGGGGGTCCCTTGAAAACAACACCCCAACTTCCAACAGTTGCCGTACTGACTCAAATGTCCCATCAACAGCAGGAAGCGTGACAGTGTGGTTTGTTTGCCCCTGCCACGCTGCTCTGAATGCGCGCTGCGCAGTCGGGGAGCAGGCCGCTAAAACTGAGGACTGCTACAAGTCCACGGCTGCACTGAGGGAGATATATGGTGAAGCTTCTCCACAAGTTCGGGAGCGTGAGTATAGGGAGGAGCAAGTTGAGAAGGCTAAGGAAGCTGAATGGAAGGCTAAGCTGGCCAAGCTCGTGATCACACTAAGTGTTTCCTTCGCGATCAGCGGGTCGACTTGCACTGTCGTGGGCCACAGCGCAGCGGGCGTGGAGAGGCCTGGGGTGAGCACTTTGGCCCCGGCAAAAGGAATCATTGTAGAATGACGCTGGCAACCTTTAAAGGTCGATAGGCGCTGGGATTGAATAGTGCGGGATGGGGGCGGAGTCCCCCGCCTTTTTGGCCTTTAATCATGTTCGACGGCGCCCAATGATTGTTGTCCAGGTTAGCCGGGGATGTTGGTGATGCTGGGGGTCCTGTTTGTGGAGGATGCTTTCAGTTTGGTTGGTATCGCTCCTTTCTTAAGCATAGGTAGAGCTCCCGCTTAAAGCGTCTCTTAAAGCGCCTTTGTTGAAATAGTTGTCCACTGTTCTTAGCATAACCTGAGCTCCCAAGTCCTCGTTTAAGGCTTTGGCTGGGAGCTTTTGCACAGCCGCCGCTGGCAGCTTCCGAATTTTGCATTTGTTGCATGTTCTATGGAACATTGTTGCATTGTAGCCGCGTCGCGCGGCCTGTATTGCCATTTGCCCGCCCCCCCCCCCCACACAAAAAAAAACACGGAGAAAAGAAAAACAAACAACATCAAGTAGACGTGGGCTCAGGGTCTCTTCAGTGCTTGAACAGCAACTGCTTGTCCTCTTGAGTGAAGAGGGATCCCTTGCTGCTGATGCTAATGACGTTGCAGCGGGCATACTGGTGATGCTGAGGATTCCTTGGTGCATGCCCCCCTCGCTTGCAAGATCAACACACTTTCTGTTGTTTGCAGAGGTTTGCAAACGCCTAGAGTTGAATTGTAAAGGATGCTTTGGCGTGCACTTTGCAAGGGATTCATGAGGATTGCGGTGTTTTTTTTTTTTTTGTTGTCAAGATTAAAACTGGACATCGAGCATCCAGTCATCCAAGTCGGCTGATGATTCTCGACTCAAGACTTCATGCAATTGATTTGGCCAGTTGCAACAATTTCTGCATGTCTCTCAGACCCTGGATCCAAGAAAGCGGGCAAAGCAGAGTAACACGGGTTGACCCGATGTTGTGGTGTCTTGGGGTTGCTTGACACAGTAGGCGTAAGACGTGGCGCCTATGTTTTTGAGATATACACATATAGGTATGTTTGCATTGGTCATAGTTCTACTTGTGCCCAGTCGCGTGTTGTCGAAAGTGGTCCAGTTCGGTGTGTCTTTTTTTGGCGGTAGTCCCTCCTCAACATGGCGGTTGTTTTTTTGTTGGTTTCCCTTTCAAGCAGCCAAAAAAGGGGACCAAATCCAAAGAAGACACACCCAGTTACATTGGTCCGGTCGCCGGGTTGCCTCGATGAATTGCCAGGTGCAAAGTGACGTGTGCGACGAGTTCGAAGGTCAGCGCTTTGCGCGCTGCAATCAAAAAGCCGCTCGCTCACGGGTGACGGTGTTTCTTGGGGTAGAACCGTCTGCACCCATAAAATAGCCTGAGGTCTATGCGGGTCGTGAATGGCTCGTTCAAAGCTTGCAACAAATGAGAATTGTTCAGATGATGGTTTGGGTCTGATAGTGAAGCCAGAATACGAGAGAGGGAAACATGCCTGATCCCTGCCCAAAAAAAGCGAATCAAAGGTGGAACGCAGCGAATATATTGGTTTTGAAACAAGGCACATGTGAGCAGGCACCTAAAACCCTCATTGGCCTTCTTAGTGGGTGGTTCTACTACCTGGTCTCATACAGGTTTTTGTGAGGCCTATATCAGTCTTGGTAGGATTTGCGTCGTCTCACCTGAGGTAGAACACTTGCCGCTCGATTTTATTCAGCTCATGGGGTAAAACGAGCTCCGCCGGTTTTTTTGGTTGGCATGGCCTTTTCGGGATGGGTCTTGGGGATCCCGTTTCTGGGGACCATGTCAGCCATGCACTTGGATCGCTTCCCGCAGGTGGGGCAGACCCCTACAGATTCACATGGGGGGCCACAAGGAGTCTCCTCCACAAATGTGTGTTTTTTTTTTTTTTTTTTTTTCGTTCCCGCTCGTGTTGCCGGCAGGGGATCGATGTGCGCTCCTTTGGACGGTTTCAGAAGGTCCCTCCCCAGTTTGTAGCGGCCCCCGTGCAGGCCTTCCCTCACGAATATGCAGTCAGACGGGACGTGTTCATGCGACCCTGCTGTGAGATATGCTTGCTTCACACTGATTCATTGTATTCCGGGCTGAAGCTGACTCAAGACTTTGCCGATTTTCGCGGAACTGTCCTTTCCCGCGAGTTGCGATGGCGCACGAATAGGGCCCCCCGGTTTGGGCGGACTAGCAGCCCAAAAATGCGATTTAGTTGCCTGCCACCCGGCAGACGGGCAACAGTTTCAAAAGAGACAGGAAGCCCAAGCCGTGCTTCTCAGATCTCAAAGAAATGGTTTTCCACGGGAAGCTTTCCGGTGGCCTTCTGAGGCAGGTGGACCCGAAGGATAAGAATGACGTGGTGCTTTGCCGTCCGGATGGCAAGTTGTTGACAGAGGAGGAGGACTCGACAACTCTTGAGGAGTGGCAGGCAACCACCATCCAGGACTGAGAGTCCATCCATCGAATCCAGCTTTGTGCGCCCCGGGGTTCCAACCTCTCGCTGAACTCTGCTTGAAAAAGGTGAAAAGGCCGCGGAGATTAAGAGTATATCAAGGCTCTGTTGGGAGGCCGTTCTCTCATGTTCATTCTTGCCTCTAGGCTTTGAGGGCTGCCTGTCTTTGCGTTTGAGTTCCAGCTCGCTTCCAATATTCAGACCCAGCAGCCCTAGCTACCAGATGCTACCATCTCATTTTGCATGGGGCTGATTGCTTGCCAGCACAACTGCCAGAGCTGGGTGAAGGACATCAAGGAGGCGTTCATCAAGGCTGACACCAACAAGGACGCCCGCCCCCACTGCCTCCCCCCGCCAAAAAAAAGAAACGACAAAAAGAGAAAAAATAGCGACTTGGCTATCTGCCTGATTCGCCCACAACCTGTGTCAAAAGCTTATTAGGTCACAGTCACCTGGCACTTGGCCTGCTCACGCTCATGCGCGATTGTCCCATGCAGGGCCTCTGGTCAAAAATTGGCCGGTGATTCACTTGGGTTTCCCCGTCGCCTTGCGGCCCTTGGGCGTGCTAGTGGAGCTTTCCAAAGCCAGGGCTCGGCAGAAAGTGGCTAGCCGGTTCAATGGAGGGCACCCTCTATAGCGATTGGGACAACTGTCCATGTAAATAGGGTCCAGGGGGTCCAACCACAGACTCATTGCCAGGATGGATTCTTGGACAAGAAGGAAGCCAAGAACATCCTGCTAGCACTGGCTGAGGCTTCGGATATTAAAAGCATGACGGATTCGGAGATCAACGCGCTGTTCGAGAAAGTGGACGCGAACCACGATGGCCGGCTCAACGTGTCGGATGCTTGGCGAACTTGATTTTTTCATTCCGACTCGACGTAGAGCGCACGACAGGTTCAGAGTTGATGTGATTGCAAGGCTGCCTTCCAGCAGCCTCACAACAAAACTCAGCCCGAGAGAGGGTCTGAGTGAGACGCAAAATCCCAGATCGGGCTAGAGGGGATCGGTATGCGCGGTTTTTCGGCTCGCGGGCCGGAGACGCTTTACGCGGGAGCGAGCCGCGAGTCGCTTGAGTTCCGAGGAGTTCGTGGACTGGTGCTTCGGTGCGGAGCTTATCACTGCAGAGGAGCACCAGGATGCCAAGACGCAGCTCGAGAGCCCGTGAATCTCACAGCCCAATTGGCGTTCTATCCAGGTGTTAAAGCCAAGCAAATACTTGTTACTTTTCTCAAAAAGAAGAACGTTCAAAAAAAGATGACTGATATGTTTCACCCGGCCACCGATTTAGCACCCAGGATGTCATCTTGGGAAGGTGGCCCAGATCACAAGTTTCACCACAGCAGTTCGAGAGCATATGTTGCGATAGAATGCTGTCAGAGCTCATTTCCTTGTTGCGCGCGAGCTAAACAAAGGCAGGTACACTTGACGGTTACCACGTGGCATCCAAGGTGGTATCACTGTATTACTCGGAAGCTGAAGTGCCCTGGGGCTATAAGCACAAGAGAGGACGAAATAAAGTAGCGTTTAGCATGTACGCTTTGTGGTAGAGAAGGGTTTCAGATGTTCTTTTGGTTCGGCTGCGTTCTGCATGTGCTGCGTAACGTTTCTTCCCTGATGCTGCTCATTTACAGGCCGGCGGCGGCAAGCGCAAATCCTGGCGAAACGGCGGATGCTGATGACTTTAGGCTATTCTGAGCAGAGTTGCGGTCCAAGTGACAAAGCGTCAAAGGTTGAATGTACACGCCGATGTATGAACCCCTGGTATGACCCCTAGTTTATGGGTCAATTCTCTGTTAGTTCTGGCTTAATCATGGCAAGTCCATGGGTTCATATATGGACCTATGCAATCAACCTTTGAAAGCGGCACGCCTTTGCAGGATGCTGGGGTGTTAAGTATGTTCAACTGATTTGCATCAAGAACACGGCCCGCAGTGAAGCGAGCTAGGAACGCTTGGAAACCATGTGCAGAGGACACTCGCAGCCATTGGCTGAGAACCTCGTGCTGTGACCTGTGACAGTACCATGCACACCACACGGCTGGTCAGCGAAGATCCCAAGATTTGGGTGGCTGATGATTGCGTGCCCCAGGAGTTTTTAGACCATGTGGACGCAGCATTTGCAGCCAAAGACCTAGGGCCGCGAGTGGTCGAGAAGTATGACGGCAGGCGCATTCTTGCGCGAAATGTTGACTTTGAAGTTGATGAGCTATCACGAGGAATGTTTGAGAACATTGCCAAGGTGCTAGGCATCACTGAGCTGGATCGCTGTCGTGACTTTATGGTGTCAGAGGTGTGGGCAGACGGTCAGACAAGCCACGTAGACCACATAAATCTTGATGACCTGGCGGCGAACAAGTACAATGTGGATTTTCTTGACCTGAGCAAGCAGAGCTCTTCTGCCGGCAGCCCACGGAGGGTGGTTCCCACAGTCTCCATCGTGGTTTATCTCAATGACGTTGGAGGCATTCGGTTCCCGCATGCCGCGGATGAAGCAGGCACAATTGCCGCAAAGTGCGGCCGTGTGGTCATGTTTCAGAACTACGACGATGTCCACCGACCGGCGCACAAGGCATCTGCAGAGCACCATGGCATATACTTCAAGGACATGCCAAAGCGTATCCTGGTGATGGGGCTCCTGGCAAATGAGAATCCGTCAATGGTAGGGTCCAACCCACCATGGCAAGGGCTGCTTTACTGCGCCGGCACCAGCCGCGACCCACTTTTTCATGACAACCCCTCCTACGAGCCTTGGAAGGCACTTGGACCCGCCAAGAAGTTTGCGCCAAGTTCAACAAAGGAAACCGTGCCATTGTGGTCTTGCCTGTGGTAATATATAACCTGAAAAGCGCTGTGTTGAAAGCGAGTGGCTACGCATCGATCCAGCCAGTCCAAATGGAGTGAAGGCAGGGGCTATTACATTTTGTGTAGAAACAAAGGTGCGTGGTAGCCCCCCCAATTGGATTTTCTACAATATCCTCATTGTGTGGTCTGATTTCCGGTTTGAGCGCATATCCTTGGCAAGATTCTATGTTGGGAAAGAAAGAAACACGGAGTGAGCGAACGAAAAAGAAAGAAAGACGAGACAGAACCGAAACCAGGACCACAAAGAAAGGGATAGCAAATGAACAAACAACACCAAAAAAGCAATCGATGAAACAAAGAAACACATAAACAAAGAAAGAATGAAATGACAGAAGAAGCACAGAAACGAGGAAATCAATGGGATTATCAAGGCAAACAATGAAGGAAAGAAAGAAAGGAAACCAAACAGGTCATCAAAGACAAACTTATCGACAAAGAGATGCAGAAACTAAGAAATGAAGAAAGACCCGGATAAAAAACAAGCGCGAAAGTAAGCAATTAATACTCTATGTATATATATATATATTATAAGCGAAATGAAATGAAGGGTAAGGAGAGAGAAGGAGAGGGCGAGAGCCAAGGACACCTACAAGTCCAAGAAAGACCTGGCAGACATCTACGGCCCAGACTCCCCTCAAGTGCAGCAACGCGAGCGGATGGAAGCCGAAGCAATGAAGAAGCAGGCAGCTTGGCTACGATGTCTACCATGGTTCGCGTCGGGCGTAGGGTACAGAGACCAGAGTTGCCCACTCAAGTCTTGCGGGGCTGGTGGGTCAGCACCTTGCTCCTTGCTGCATTCGAAAGGTGATCGAACAGTCTCTTCCCACTTGCTTTGTCCAACAGACTGCTAAGGGACGCATGTGAAAGAGGTTCCTTGAATGATCGCAAGAAGCAAGAGTTCCCCACAATGTTTCCCGTGTTTTCGTCATCCCTTAAAGGATTGGAAAGCAAGCTGATGAAACAGTTACTCAAGTAAAACTGAACCTCCTTGCCAGCCTTGTCCAATCTGCCATTCACGTTGGCTACGCAGAGGATGGAACATGACGTTGTAGGTGACTGAAATTAATACTTCAGAATGGCATGTCTCCCTTCCCCGCAGGGCTCGTATGATTTAAACTGAGAATTGTGTGTGTGTGTGTGTAAACGGGAGCGGCATATGATATTTCGTGTCGGTGGCCTGAAGTCCCCTGTACCATAGGTCAGGGACGCAAAGGCATGGAAGGCTGCATGTTGAGGGTCCATGGGTTCCTTAGGACCTGGTCCTCACCATGCACTCTACCACCGTTGGATCAGAGATCCTAGTGGTGGGCCGCTCGGCAAGTGAGACGTAACCAACATGTACTTGAGGCGCTTGTGCCGCACCATGCCACTTTGACGTGGCACCTAACCGTGCATCCATGACCTGTCAGGCAGGATCTGCTGGTTGCTAACCTGAGGAGGCTTCACCCCAAATCATTAGTGGTTCAAAGTATGGCTATTCTGGCTGATTGTGGGCCAGAGCGTTCTCACTTGTGACAAGCGTGTGCTGAGCAAGTATAAGTACCAACCTGACTTGACAGCGGAGAGAGAAGGCAGTCGGGTTGGTTCTTCGCCGGTGCTTGTGAATTCTTCGCATCATCATGCTGCTAGCGCAGGCAAGATGCGTGGAGAAGAAAGGAACATGTTTCGCGCCTTTGGCCCCTGGATCCCCCTCGCAGGATCCCAAAAGAAACGGCTAGATGGGGAGCAGTGCGAGTGCTCATTCACGCTGGCATGCCGGAGCGTGATTCTTGAAGGGCGCCTTGGGCACCAAGGCACGGCGGAAGGAGTGGAAAAAGTCCAAGTCAAGTGCCCGCCCTCGGCGACCCTACACTGGCTCCGAGGGGAGGCCGGCAAGTGGCCCGGCTTTGCCATGTTTTTTGCTTGGGATGGGATTGCGATGGAATGTGTGCGCGTGTTTTTGGGTTTGTGTCTCTTTGTGTCCGTGTGTTTGTGTGCAGGCGTGATTGGACCTTCTACTTTGCAGTTTCACTGTTTTGCCACGCAGTTCGGCGAAAGCGCCGGCCTATTCCTGGCAAAAGGCAATTCTCGACTTCGGCCTTTCGTGACGCAATCCTGCCAGATTTGCGCCTTGACATGTATTTTGGCGCCGAGGCAAGTGGACAAGAAGAGCGGAGTTGTTCTCATGGTGGGACAGAAGCTCTTGACTGTGACCGGCAGGGGATTGAGCAGCATTTTACTTTTGGATTGCTGGGCGCTGTTGGGGTTGATCGGAATAATTGTGTTTGTTGCAGGCCTTTTCCCTCCGTTTGTTGCGAGCCGCGGTGTCACTTGAGCGCTCACTTGCTACTGGTTGTCTTGAGATCACCCCCGCTTAGAAGGGAAGATGCGGAGGGCTTCACATGTCCGAGGCTCGAGGTCAATTAATGGCTAAGGCACGCGTATGACAGTTTGCATCTGAAGTGGTGGCACATGTGTTCTGTTTCATTTTGCTTCAGAGCCACGATGGGCCGCATCAAACATCGGCTTGGGCTTGACATGGCTGGAAGACCGCCATCAAGTTGCAAATCCACAACGCATGCAACTCCAATGAGCCGGCATCTCACCAAGATACAAAGAATCCTTTTGGCGGAAGGTGTTGAGAGACTCAGGCCCAAAATAAGGGCCTTGGGCGGGCAGGGGTCCCAGAAAATGAAGATTCGCCATGATTTGCATGCGCTGCCGAGGCCGAGGATGACTCCAAGCCTTTGTCAGAGGTGTTTCCTGAGCCAACGCTGTTCGGCCTTTGTAGCTGTGTGTGTCCAATGTGACGCACTGCTCTGACGATCCTGTGCCCAGATCAGACAGGATTGGATGAAGAGAGTAGAGAAAAGACCAGGTCGACGATTGCGGCACATTCACTTAGAATCTCATGGCCCCGAGCAACTTCTGGAAGGAGCCATCCTTGTCAGCTGTATTCGCTTTCCTGAACATGGCTGCATTTGTTTGTTGGCGGGGGTGAGCCTTGTAGATTGAACTGAGAAGCAATATGCGCGTTGCGTTCCCCTTTAAGAGAACTAGCCAAGTTGATTCTGTATTTACGTGGCCCCATGCATGTGACCTATCTCCCGTCACTGCAGGCAGGTACAGGGCATGTAAAGTGGAAAACTGTTCGGCCTGGTCCACAGCTTATCCGCTGTGTGATACGCTGTGTGTGTGTGTGTTCAGCTTGCGGCCACATCCAAGCACCTGGGCTGGCTAGCGTCACGCCTGTCAGTCAATACGCGACACTGTCTATTTCAAGCAGATTCGGACTAAATCGTGGGTGGTGTCAATATGACTTGAATAGGACAGCTACATGAAACCCACGGACCTGTTCAGCGCACACAATTTTCTCACATCATATGATTAACTGGCTAGACAGCTCACGGAACAGGCTTGAGGGTGGATTCCCCGTATAACTTGAAAGCCGCGGAAGAGGAACAGGTCAGATAATGTCTCGCAACAAGCATTCTCAAACCCATTTTGCAGCTCGTCTCATTCCAAGAAGTTTGTCTTCATGGGTGGACCAGTAGGTCACGTTGCTGAGGGACAGACTTTGTTGCATGACTCACCCAAAAGAAATGTGGGGGAATTGTTCGGAACTGCAAGGCGTCTATATATGACACACGCATGTATGAGGGGTGCGTTTCAGCCAGCCGCTCAGCCGCCCTTTGCGAGAAGCAAAGGTGCCGGCCTATAGTCAGAGCTTTCTACGCTTCAGCGCGTAGTCCAAAAAGTGGAGCGTTGGGGCGTCGGAAGCCAGCCCAATGCAAGCCTCCAATGGCCTGACCTTGAACATGACCCAAAAAGACATGCACCCAGCCGTGCAGCCACGAAAATACCAGCTTTGAGCTTTCTGAGCCCAGGGTAATTCAGCCAGATGTGATTGAGACGAAATCTTGTCAGGACTCCTGTGGGCTGGTCTGGAAGCATTTGTTTGGTTGTATTTTTGTTTTGTTTGGAGGGGGATAGCTGTTTGTCACATTTGGGGCGGCCAAGCAGGCCAATACTTGGTGGCCCGCTGGGTTGACAGGTCAACTTCCATCATCCGATGTCGAGATTGGAGATTCCTGGTTCCCTGACCAGAGCATGTTCTTTGCATTGTTCTGTCCAGTGCCGGTCCGGGGCGTAAGAGGCTCTTCCTTTTCAATATTTTTCCAAACTATCAGTGCACTACTTCGAGTCAGGCCTCGGACATTCCTGCAATTCAGAGCTCTTATTGGTGGGCACCTTCTCCTCCATTCGAAGGGGCTCAATGTCGTTGGCCTGTTGGAGAGGTTCGGTCAAACATCTCCAGCAGGCTACCACCCAATTTGGGGACATGGGTGGCTCACAGCATGTACAGACCAGGGAACTCATGGCTCGTCTTGAAGTGAAATTGAAGGGAGCGCAATTTTTGGGGCCCTATTGTAAGACACATGTCCAGTGGGGTAATAAATAGCAAGTTTTGGCCACACGATGTGCAAGCCCCGAGGCTGGCACAGTGGACACCGCGATCGTTTGGCTTTTGCAGAATGCGGACCAGCGACAGCCTGGTACCCAATGCGCCCGGGAAGCTGGGCAAAAGGTGTCCTTTTCAAAACCACAAAACCTAACCTCAAAAAGAGAAGGCAAAGTTCCCGTTGGGAGACAAGCAAAATGCAATTATAAGAGCCTCCGACCCCCTTGCCCTGCAAGTAGCAGGGATTTTGGCAAGCGACTCCTGAGATGAGCTTGTCGTGTTCCAAGCCTCTGTACGGACTGCGCAATTCGGGGTTTCAACCTTGAAGACTTGCATCCACACCATCCACACCTCCCAAGCCGGCATCCAACCTTTGTGTAGATACTGTTCAGTGTCTATAGCATGCCTGTGTTCAGCTCACAAGACCCGTTGGCCTGCAACATAGAGCTAGTTCACGTGGGGGCTTACGACACCCTCGCAGAGGTCTCCATTTACCCTTTGGCCTTGGCATTCCTTGGTTCCAACCATCCAATATGATGAAAACCGTACCCATGTGATGCGCAATGTGTTCATGTTTATAGTTGATTTCATAGTTTTGTTTGTTTGGTAGGGACTCGCAGGCTGCAAACAGATGGGTGGTATGCTATCGACGTAGTTGCTACTGGCCGAGCTGCCCGCGCCGAGGCCACGGCAGTCTGACGAGTATTTGAGGCCAGGGGCAATTGGCGGAAACACAATTAAATGCAGCTTGGTGTCTCAACGGCATTGTCTTGCCGTTCAGCCGTTCAGCCTTCAAGTGGCGCCGGGAGCGTTGGATGCACTTTCCCGCGGGAGAAACAGGGGACGGGTGAGTAACCAACGAGTAAGGGACTCCTTCACCTGCACTTCCCAGTTCTAGCTGTTTAGCAGTTTGCTTTCAAGTTGAGACACTCTGCGGAAGCCGCTTGCAACGCAACGCGCATGTCATTGAGTTCCGTTTCACATTGTAGGCGGCCCCCCAGCCCCACCACACACCAGCGATGCATTTGGCAGTTGAAACAACTTGCATTTTGGAAAGAATGGGAAAATGCAGAGTGACACACTACAAGCCCGACCGCTGACCCAACAGAATGAGTATGAAGCTGTTGATGCTTGGCTGCCGTGGCAAATGAGCAGCTCCACCGCAAGCTGACTTTCACGTGGTGAATCATGCGTAGGGTCTCAGGACCCTTCAAAACAACCCAGCGTGCTCAGATATCGGATGAAGCCAGATGCCACAGCTTAAAAACGTAGTACGTAGGCAGGATGGAGAGATATAAATAATATTAAGTTTAGCTGCTTATAGGCCTCAACGGTCCCTACCAGCCCCTCTCACCAACAGCTACTATTGGGCCTGCTTCCCGGGCTGTGGCTCTGAATCAGTATGTGAGATTTGGATTCCACCGGAGGGTTCCGACTCAGAAGCGGGGAGAGGGGAGCGGGGAACGGGGAGCGGACCGGACCCACAGGAGCAATGCCTTCTATGCCCTGAAGGCAGGTGGGAAGTGGCCTAGTGGTTTAGCGTCAGGACAAACCCCTTAGGGGGGTTGTCCCATTCTAAATGGTTGAATCCGGATCACTTTTAGGGGCACCCCTCCTTGTAATTTGGGAGGGTCGACATGAGTCGGTTTCTCGAGCTGTTGAGGCCGAGAAAAAAAAATGACGCATCCAAAGTGCCACAGATTAAGCTCCTGTTGCATATGGCTGAAAAGCGCAAGTGAAACAGCGACGGCCCGTTCAATGAGGAGCTGATCATATGTGCATGATGGAGGCATCAATTGTTTACTTCGCGAGCTACGCAATTGCGGGAGTGGCAAGCTGCTTGCGAAAAGTCTAGTTTGCTCGTAGAGACTACCCACGAGCTAGAATCCCTCAAGAGTTGTCGACATGGCCAAAGCTTCGCTCCTGAAGGCCAGGGCGGAGATCCCAGTGGCCAAAGAGGTGCCCGAGGAGTCTTTCTCACGTTTCGGTTCGGCTGGATGGTCGAAGATTGGTGAGCAAGCTGTTTTGCTGCACGCCATTTCCGATTTGGTCCAGGTTTGCCTAGGATTTCTTGTGGGGGCTGGTTGGGAGGCTCAGCGGGCAACCAAGTTGTGCAGGGCGTGCGTTGTTTCTGGCCTTGCTTAGTTTTTAAGCAAGGGCCTTGCAACTGGGTTGGGATGGTACCCGTGCGGGCGGGACTTCGTGGGTGCTGACATGCGCACGTGGCCTGAGAATCATGGTTTGCCAATATGGACGCTTGCAGTGCCGCAGTGTCGATATTGCGCACATACATAGAACACGAAAGAAATGCGCAAATGCAACAATGTCATCCCCAACCCTGTATGATACCCCAGCGTTGGCGTCACCAGGCTATCACACCGAAGCTGGAAGGGCATGGACACACCTCACAACAGCCCTGATGCCGCAATGTTGACAAGCCATACGGAAATGCAGCGCGAGCGTGCAAGCACAGGACACGAACGTTGCATATGCCACAGAGCCCGTCATGCAGCAAACTCAACCATGGTTGCCAGAACCCCACGTGTGACACTTGCTTGTTTGGAGGAAGGTGTAGAAATCAAGATGAGATATGACTTCTTGTAGGCGACCTCGCCAACACAAAAAAAAGCAACAACATGTATATCTCTATATAAGTATATACACGTATAATGTGGTTTGCTTTTGGTTTCCCCTGAATTGAATTAAAGCCATAAAGTAGGGAGTGCCCTCAAAAAGAACGCCCATTTTTGGGTGGGGCATGGGCAGCTGTCGGAGGGTGCTGGAGGGGGCGTATCTGTCAAGTGCTGACCCAGTGATTTTCCCGGAGCCGTCCCACCAGAACCAACCTTCATGGGGGTGGGGAGTTCTCGGTGCTCGAATGGATGGATGACAAACAAGAACGCAGGATGGATAACAAGCTGGTTGTTCAAGAAGGGACTTTGATGGGGTTGCACCCCGTTATTTGCCGGATTGAATCCGAAGCAGAGCTTTGTGCTTCGCACCTGTTCCGCAAAACTGGCCAAGGCACTTCCCGGTTCTGCGTTGCAAGGGGGCCATATTTAGACTCGGTGCCACGTGAGTTTCTTTTTGATCACCCGCGGCATTCCCTTGCTAATGTCCTTGTTGGGTATTGTCAACTTCGGATTGATCAGGAAGAGCCCTACATAGGCAGAGGTACCGTTAAAATAGATCGACATGTCCTGAGTTACTAATGGGGTGGCTTCCCACGAACCGCCTGACCGCCTGACCGCCTGCCCGCCTGCCCGCCTGCCGCTTCGAGCTCCGCGCGCCCCGACGGGCCCTGACCGCGCCACGCGCCTTGATGCGGACGCTGCGGTGACAGCGCGGTCGGCCGCATGCCGAGGCAATCGGATGTCAGGACGGCGGGAAAGAAAGAAAGCCCCGGCGATGCAGACTGGCACAAGCAGCATAATTAGCATAAAGAGTCCTGTGGTTCTAATCGTCCGCGCCAAATATCAGGGAAGGTTTCTTTATGCGGCAAGAAATGCATTTGGAATAGGAAGTGACCTTTGGGCTGGCTCGAAGTTTCGAATTTGGCAGTGGGCAATTGTGACTCAAACTTTTGCCTGGCCGGGCTTGGAGGGCGCAAAAGAAGGCACGGGGCGTTGGCACCATGCCCGCAGGATAGAGATTGAGCATCATTTCGAGAACACCTTTCACACCACCTATGCAGCAGCGTGGTGGCAATGCAGGTCCACATGCATAGGTCAGTATGCAGAGTACGATTCATAGCTTGGGCCGTGGTATGGCTGGACAATCCTAGCCAGCACAATGTGCTCGTTCCGCTGCATCCAAGGTGGAAAGGTACTCCGAGTATGCCCAGCAGGTGCAGCGACAGATGAATGTGCAATTGGAAAGCAGGGACATCAACGTCCAGGTTGTCACCAACCCCGGGCCCCCCAAAGGCTTCTCTCCATTCTGGAGTTGCCAGGGATGGTTCACCTCCACCAAAGGTGCCTCGGCCAAAGGGCTGAAACGCACAGCTTGCGCTCGCAAATAAACAAGACGAGCGTGATGCCCCGGTCGCATGCTAGTGCTTTTCTCCGTGCCTTGTGCCAGTGCTTTTCTCTGCAACGGGGTGGTTGTCTGATACACACTGGGGCGATTCTGATGGCAGCTTTGTCAGATCAGGTGTGCTGGTGAAATTGTGCTGCTGCATTCGGTTTTGCAACTGCTGGTGGGCAGAAGCGACAGCAAACCTGAATGTCGGTTGAATGCGCAGCACAAATGATGCTTGATGCCATCTCGCCATTGGCATCCATTTCTACAGTCAAGAGTTGTCAGCCTGGCCACCCAAGACATGTAACTGGCGTCTTGTCCCCTATTTGCGCATGTCTTTTTCCTGCCTCAGGCAGGGCCCGAAAAGATGCGAACATGTTTTTTGTCTCGGCTGGGGGATGCAGCCAAAACCCACTTCATACCCAGTTTGATTCGCGCTTGGCTTGGGTGCGAAAGCTTTGTGGCTCACGTTGTTGACCTCCTTATGCGGAACGACTTCGCATGTGTGGAAAGACGGAACAAAACTACAAAAGGTTCTGATTCGTGATGCGCCCTGATTGAGACACACGCACTGCTCTTCACAGGCATGGCGAGACAGAGCGGGGCACAGAACCACCCAATGACCCAAGGCTCAAACTCCTTTTGACCTCCCACAAGCATGAGATACCTCAAACGTGAAACACAGGTCTTACTTGAGTTGCACTGCCGACCATTGACAGCCACAGCTTGTTTGAAAAGTGCTTTGGCGGTTTCTCTGGAAATCCATCACGAGCAAATTGGAAGTGCACAAGCCCCCTTGTCCAACAAGAAGTAGACAATCGAGTGTGCACCAAACCATGTTTGGGAGAGTACCTTTTGTGTTGATCGTTTTGACATATTCCATCATGTGCCTTCTGGATGCAGCCCCTGGTGAGGGTTGCTCAAAATGGATCTTTGGATGGCCTTGGGAACCCAAAGGAAAAGCCACCAGAGATATCTTTTTGAAACTGCCTTATCATCGGAAAATGTATTGACCTATCAAAATCTGGTTCCCCCTTGCTTTCTCACAGATTCGATCATGTTTCTCAGGCCTTGTTTCGTGGTCCCCCTTTTTTGTGGGGATGTTTTTTTTGTTACGACACCAGGGCATTCTGCGGGAAAATGTCAGCCTGCAGCTGGGGTGCCGATGTCCCGAGGTGAGAAGGTGCGCTATCCCCGCCTCGGTGCCTTCGAAGTCTTCGCGGAGATCTCCAAAGATTTCGCCCCCAAAAGCGGCCTGCCGCCGCGCATGCAGCTTTGGTCCAAGCTGCGCCTCGGTGAAACCGAAAAACGACTAGAAAACCCGGTCTCCTTGCTTGCTTGTCGATCTGTTTCTGTGTTTGCGTGGCCTTGTCCACTTGGCTGGCCTAGTCGGTTTGTCTTTTTGTTGGTTGATTTGGTTGGTTTGGTTTGACTTCGTTTTGCCTGGTTTGAGTTGGTTTGTGTTTGGGTTGCGGTTTGGGTTGCGGTTTGCTGTTTGGCTTGTATGTTCCCCCCCCCCCCAACCCCCAAAAAAAGAACGGATTGCCTCGAGGTGTTCTCACCGCTGGCCGGATCCCACGCGGCTGGCGGAGAAGCTGGCGGAGCTGCTCAGCTCAGGCAGGGAGAACGAGGACGTCTCCGAGGAGGTCCGGGCGTTGACGCTCGGAGCACCGATCGGAGACCCCAAAGAGATAGGTCCGATCGGCGGCGGTTGTTTGAGGCTCAGTGTTTTCTGGTGCACGACGGAATGTATCAGAAGGTCCCTAGAAAGAAAATTTGGTCTTCCAGGTGACGTTTTCATGTTTGTGGATGAGAGGGTGCTTTGGGTTGATTCAAAGGGAAACCGACAAATTCCAAATCCCTATGTGAACGCATACCCAGGTGGGTTCCCTTCTCAAGACAAAAAGAGAACCAGATTTCAATAGCTCCCTTCGGTTGGTTTGATTCCTTCCCCTTAGCAGGGTTCGAACAAAATAGTCAACTAGCAACATATATTGTCTGTTGGCCAACTGGTAGTTTCTCATTGTTTGTTCGGATTGGAGTGTAAAGAGCTGGTGAACTGGTTGCTTGAGGGGGACCAATTCAGACGCTTAAAACGAAGGTGGTTTGATGCGAAGGGTGGCCGAACCCAAGTCACTCTCTGCATTTCCCCACTCCCAGGGCTCTGGGCTCTGGGCAGTGGAGAGGGCGGGGGAACAGACAGACTGATAGCCTTTCCGCCCGGAGAAAGCTTCCAGGATCCTCAGTCCCATGCAAGGCTTGCCAAGCAAGTCCATGCATTTGTTTACCTGATCAGCCTGTTCGGGTCCAGTTGCTTGGCCAGTCCCCCCTTCCTCCCATACGTTACTTGTGCCAAAGCCTTGAGCGCCTCACAGGCTGGCGGATCTGTTTTCAAAGCGGGCAAAACGCGCCGCACGGCACAAGGAACAACCGCTGGACTCACCCGGAAGTGCCAGAGAAGCCGAAGGTCATACCACATGCCCCCATGTGCCTGGGCGAAGCGTGTGATAATTTTTGGGAACCGCCGCGTTTTGGTCTATCTAAAAAACGTCCAGGCTGCAAATGCATGGAGTAGGCGAAAGTGTTGCTTTGGTGTTGATCCGGTGGTGGCCTTAGCTTTGTACCATCAGGTGACTTTATTGATGGTAGACGCCCCTACTCGCCCCGCGTGCCAACCTCATGAAGTTTAGGGTCCCAGTTTGGGTGCCAGGTAGAAAAAGCAACCTTGTTGGCCCCTGTGGCCTCTCGTGGCGCCCTTGCAGCAGGTTATATGCTTACACACCGTGAGAAATACGATGAAATACGTATGTGCGGATGCTCGGTGCAGCATCCACTACTAAGTGTAAGGGGGGGGGACGTACCAGCAAAGGGATCCTCGCCCCTGCACTTTCCATTTGGCGCAACAGAATTAGTGCATTGAGGGTTGGAAGCGCAGCGAGCGCGTGATCTTGCATTCAGAAGTGTTTTTTTTGTTTGTGACAAGGAGTGCCAATCGTCCAGTGAGACTGCCTTGCTTTGTTCATTTGTTTTCCTGGCGCGCTGGCTTCGATGCAACAAAGCTAAACAGGAGTTCTACGACAGGCACTCTTGCCATTTGCGAACGGTTTTCCCCACGAGAGGCCCTTCCGTCCCTTCCGGCTCGAGGTTTTTCGGGCTCACGCCTCGGGGGGGCACGCCCACGCCGGTGGAGCGGCGCATCCCGGGGGAGAAGCGCTCCGCCAACTCCTCGCCGCGGCCGTCCTCGGCCTTCGCGACAATGGGCGGCTCCAGCCTCATGGCCTGGGCCCCGGACACGCCAAGGATCCCACTCCATGTACCCTTCCATGATCTGGAAACCTCAGGGGGTCCTGGGACCCCTGTGCTGGTTCCATGTTTTCTTTTGGGAGGGTAACGTAAGCTGTGAACTTTTGACCCATTTACAGGACAAATGAAGGGTAAACATGCGATAGAGTGCTGGATTGGAGGTTCTACAGGTCTCCAATGGCTCTAAGAAGGCTGTGGCAGAAGGTCGCACGGAGGTCCCCACTAAATTGGAAGGGTTGTACCTGAGGCAAGCCTGTCACTCACCCGACGCATCATGTATGCATGATGTGTGGTTTTGCTTGTGTATGCATGCCTTTTTTAGAATCGCGATGAGTCACCGTGGAGGTTTACTCCATGTTGGTTGGTTATTCAGAAAAAAGCAACCGGAAACACATGGAACTTGCTCCGGATGGCTCAGCGTGTGACTAATGCCCCAGGTCTCCAGATGCCTTTGCCACCCCCAAGAGCCATGCGTCGCCCGTTGCGAGGTGTCACCGGGGAAGATTCGGCCGAGCTCTGCGAAGCAGCGCCTTGGGCTTCTGGCCTTCGGGGCTCGCTCGAACGGTGAAGCGAGTTGGAGGTTCAGGACAACGTTCTTGCGGGCCCGGAGGCCCTTGCTTGGTCACTGAGGCTTTTGGTGGCTCAAGTTCACGGACTCTAACGCATGTTTGACGTGAAGGCAGGCAAAATCCTGGAGCTGTCGCAGTCACAATGCCCTTCTGAAACTTCACGGCAGGCTTCGTTGCTTCCCAGGGTGCTAGCTTTCCTGAATTCGGGATATCGTGTGACCATTTGTGCCATCACACTTCGGGCGGATCATGCAAACTCCGAGGATGAGATCGCTGCAGGATCACGAGCCAGCGAGCGAGCCGGCGACCCCCAAGGAGACACCACAGAAGTCCCCGGACGTGCCCTGGCCGCTGGTGTTTTGCACGTCGGCCCTCAAGTGGCGCCCACTAGGGCGGAAGAGATTTGATTTCCCTTTTGCATTCTGGCAAAGGGAGGAATTGGGAAGTCAATCACGTTGACTTCTGCCCTTCTTGGCTTTTGGATATCGTTGTCTGGAGGATTTCAGCCATTTCAGTCTGGGAAGCAAACAACCACAGCCAGTGGCTAAGGTTCCGGCCTTCGGTGGCTTTGAGGAGCGCTTTGAGGAGCGGGTTGCGGCAACATGATGTGTGTCACCTGTACCGCGCAAGGAATCCTTCACCTCCAAACCAAAGTGGCTGCAACATCCGCAATTGAACAGCTGTTTGTTTGCATGGTCGAAGGTGCGAAAGCTTGATATCATTGCAATGTGCTAGCGGTGGTTGGCAATTATTTCCCATAGGCGCTGCGTCCGTTTCCAGATTGGTTATGTTCGGCGTGGTTCAAGGCATAGTATATATATATATATACATACATGTTTTCTATATGTACACTTACATTTATGTGCATACATATATATTTATATATACACATGTGTGTGTGTGTGTGTCCCGGTGTGGCCAAGTGCGACCTTCCTTTTGAGATTAAGGTTCTGTGGAAAGAGTATTGATCTCTGGTCACGTGGCTGGGGATTCCGCACAGTTTCTGAGGACGACCAGGACAATCCGCCCTCCTTCCGGGATTCCGGCGCAGCTGCACCCGCCAGCGCTCCGGAGAAGCAACCAGAGAAGGAGAAGGATGCCTACTATGACGAATTCGAGGACAACACCACTGTTGCAGGTCCAAATGACCCTTCGCCATGTTTTTTGTTTTTTAAGGAGTGGTTCCCTTGGTTACTTGCAGAAGGAAAATGGAATTGCTGCGGTTGCCACCACTCGGTGTCCTGCATTTCAAGGATCAACCCATCCAAGGGTGCACCACTGAACAGGTGCACCCCGAATCAACAGCGGTAATCCGAGGTTAGCAGCGGGTTTTTGCCTCAGGATGAAGGCGATCCGCCGGAGTCGGCACCGGTGCCTGCGTCTCCAGCTCCTGCGTCGCCGCGCAAGAAGGAGTACGTGGAGGACCTGGCACAACGTGACTTGGGCACGCTGTCGCATTCTTTTGAGGTTACGTACGTTGTTGGACACGTGTTCGTGGCAAGCCGACCACGTCAGACCTGTGTGATTTGCTTCTCCTTCTCGCCCACCGATTTGAGGGCGCGTGCCAATCGGTTTCCTTCAATGAGGGCTGACCCTAAACTGCCTCAGCTGCGCTGTGCTGCAAGTATCAGATTTCGGAATCTCAGCGACTGATCGACTGTGAGGAGTAGCCCGCCAACCTCAAAATTCAAGCACACATAAATCGATCGTTAGCCACCGGGCCTGCAATGCTGCAATGCTGATCCCAACTGAGCTTTGATACACGTATTGCGCATTAGGCACGGTGATCAGAAACAGGAATTTGGTTGCCAAACCTGCTCAGGCGTGGAAACTCCGAAGGCCCTGGAGGATTTAAGGAATCCAGAAAGCGTTATGGCCGAACTTGTGCTTCCTGTATAAGAGACCCGTCTTTGGGAAGCCTGTAGGCTTCTTTGGGGCCTTTGGGGACGACCTTCTGGGGGTCGGGCTGGCTGTCGGCAGTGTAAACTATGTATTTAACTCGGATAGTGAAAGCTGGCCAGGCTCAAGGCCATCAGGAATTGTAAGTTGCTTTCACCATACCTCCTCCGCGCAGTGTTCCATTTCTGGCCACGTGATCACCCCCGAAACTACCCTGATATGGGGTTTGATCTGCTTTTCGAAGTTTGACCTTGTTGTGTTTCACCAAATCACCCCATAGACTTTTGAGGCGGTACAGCTCCAGTTTCTGGGCTTCAGGGTTAGTTTTGGAGCGTCCAAAGTGCCGAGGCCTCCTCCAGAAGCACGGCAGCTCCGCGAAGCCCGCAGAGCTCCTGCGACGGCCCATGCAGCCCTTCGACCCCGAGGAGAGCAGCGGACTCCGCCGGGGGAGGGGGGGAGCGGGGGAGGGAAGAGGGTGTTTTTGTTTTTATGTTGTTGATTTTAGTCCGGGTTGAACGCATGCGGTCCGAGCGAAGAGATGTGTTGGGTTTCTTGGTGGTTTGTTCCGGGTGCAGTTTGATTTTCGATTTCTGGAGCGTGACAACTTGAGCGCATCGCGAAACGTTATCGGGTGGTGGGGCATTGGGGCTCGGTTGTATCGCCGCGTCCTCCATGTGCACCGGAGACAGGCATACTCAGAATAGACTAGGAGCATTGAAAAGCTCAGTTATTCGCGATCTGCCGATGGTTGTTTTGGTTGCAAGAGTTGAGCCTGCTTGCCACGCACAGTCATTTGTGTTCCAGTGGAACAGCTGGGCCACCAACACAAACAAACACAAAATCAAACGGGGGGGGGCTCCCGTTTCTGGAAACCACCCAGCAGCTCCTTGTATCGAGCGTTCCTTAAAGAAGTCCCAAGACAACTTATACAGTTGCTCGCTTTGCACGGCACGCATAATGACGCACGTTTTGCATTTCACACACTGCTACACGTGACAGGATTTGGGACACTGATTGTGGCTGTTACCACTCAAACTTTTGGGATGCCAGGGACCACCAAAATCACGCCGGAGCTTTCTTTCTTTGGCTCAGCCACGTTCAAGGACCCCATCCCGTTTGCTCAGCAAAGGCGGGCAGAGCTGTTCCGCTCACCGTGCCGCAGGAGCCGCTGGACGAGACGGTGTTTAAGACCAAATTGTATCACCTCGGGGTTTTCAGCGAGCCCTTCGGAGGGTTCAGCTTCGCAGCCCGGCAAGAATTAACATGCGGAACGGCGGAACCGCTTGCTTGTGGGGTAGGTGAAGAAAGTGATGGACTGCAATTGGCATCGAGACTTGACGATTTGGTCGGCGTGCGTTTTGTTTCAGGGAGCTGCGAGCAGATAGTCTTCCAAAACTCTTGAGAGCTTTTATTGCCCTTTTCCAGAGTTAGCGTGCTGTCTGTCCCGCGCGATTTGCGATGCCTCGAGGGACTGCCTAGATCGAAATCAGAATCCAAACATGAACGGAGTTCCAAGCAGCAGCCATTCAGGCTGGGCTCTTCCTCGAGATCGCTGCAGGAACGCCACCTACAGCACGCTGCTTGTCCTGAGATCAGGGGAGGGTGCCTTTGCCGATTCAGGCATGTTCTGCTCACGCTCCTCACGCCGGCTTTGGCCCAGGCAAGTGCAGTTTGGCCTGACCCGTGTGTCACCACAAGCCTAAGCACAACTTGGCACGGTGCTTGCCGAAGAGGGCAGAGTACCTTCGCCAAGCTACACAAAGTTTTGTCAACTTGGTGTGTGCCAGAGGGCAGGTTTGGCTCCAGACTCTGCAAGCACCCCTTTCCCAGAGTTCCTGTTGCTTTCAGGCGTACATGCGAGAGCTATAGCCGTAACAGGACAGGTACCCGACATAAGAGGTAGGGTTGCCTGCTCTTATCGAATGTGTCGTGATGAAGGCATGCCTTCGCTAAGGCACGAGTTCTAGAGGGCTGGTTTGATTCCCAACTTGTTTTGACCAGCCGACCGAACAGACACACAACAACAATGAAAAGATGCTATCAGGCGACCATGGTTGTTAAGCATGGAGTTTTGGGAGAGCCCGTGTGTTCCCACGTTTCTGCGGGTTCATCACGATCCACGGTCACTGGGAATTCAATTTGCGACCACGTTGCAATCATCTCCTTGTCACACATGGCATCACTTCTTTGCTTTTTTTCCCCAACAGCTGGAAGCTTTGGGGTCTCAGCCCAGATAGGCTCCGGGGTGGTCCGGGGCGGTCCTGAGGTAAGGTTCCACGAGGGTTCCACGAGGGTTCCACGAGTGTTCCACCAGGGTTCCACCAGGGTTCCACAAGGGTTCCACGAGGATCTGCGAGGGCTACGGGGTGGTGCGAGCACTAAAAAGAGCACCGCATGCTGTTGGGGATGTCACCTGAGCTTATTTTATTTTTCCTGGTGCCTGCTTTTTTGTGGTTTTCAGGGAAACCCAATCGAGAACCACCATGTTGAGGGCCCCCGAAAAGAAGAGGAGCCACCCGCATGAGCATATTTGCTCAAGGCCTTAGAATGCTCTTCGCTTGATTGCCCCAGGCTTGGGTGACCTCATCGAGCACCTCAAGCCCTTCTTCCCATCCGACGTGCCTTCGGCAAGTCGTAGGGGAGTGGATGGGCGAGGGTGGGTTGGCGGGTGTTGTTTCGGCTCTGCTGGGTGAAATTGTCAAGTTGTTGGACCGGCCATGCGTTTGCCTTTCTCTCTTCCGATGCCGATGTCACGTTTTGATGAGGCACATTCAGGGCAGAGGTTTTGAGTTTGAATTGTCATTTCCGGCCAGGCGGCCCAAGCCGACAAGGACACTACCAGCTCCACCATCCCCACCTCAGTGAGCTTTTCCCCTGAGACCACCAAGGCGTGGATGGTCGAGGGAATGTTGCGAGGTAGGCTCGTTGTTTTGTTTTGTTTTATGAATCTTGGGGGCTTGAAGCAAGTGTCAACAGAAGGAGGCACTTTGACATGTTGGAGCTGAAGGCACCTCGGCCAGTAGCACTGGCCCCCGGCAGAAGGTGTGGTAAGGTGTCTTGGTGGTTTGGTTGGTTGGGCTGGGTGGGTGGGCAGGCGGGTGGGCGGGCAGGCGGGTGGGCGGGTGGGTGGGTGGGTGGGTGGGTGGGGTTTGTGGCTGGTTCCAGGGCTGGCTTTGAGCTTAGCTCGGGTCTGTTGGTTGCTGCTTTAGCATGAAGTCTTCCTTTTTGGTCGGCATGCCAAAGCCCTCACAATGGTTGTCAGATATCCGTACGGCGATGTGCCGATGTGAAGCGCCCATGCCCTGAAACGAAAGCCGCCTCGTTGCGGGTGCTTCTCGGGGTCACTCATGGCCTAAAAGCCCGGGTTGCCTTTCACAACGGTTCAGTTCGTTCCAAAGTCATCCACGGATCAGCCCTGCCGTGTTTCTGATCATTGGAGATAGGGGAGAAAATTGATCACACTCTGAATGACACCTGGTAGCCAAAAGTCGCCCATGTCTCTGCTGGGAAGGTCACTCTACCAGCTGCAGAGGCAGAGGAGGCCGGTCAGCTGATTTGAAGATGTCCATATCCCAAATTTTGCTGGCCATGTCCCGGAAACCCTTGAAACTTTCTGGAGGTGGGCGGGGGAACAAGTTATCGCTGGTTGAGAATCTGGCAGCTTGTCAACAAGCAGGCCCTTGACCTATCTGATGGAGTTGTCACGCTGATTCCGCTTTCTCCCTCCAACGATGAAACTGCCCCCAGAGATTCCTTGCGAGGATAAGAGTGACTACGGCTCCGATTTCGAGGAGGACCAGTCCCCCAAATCCGCCGCCCCGGGCGCCGCGCCCGCGCCCGCTGCGCCCGCGCCCGCTACGCCCGCGCCCGCTGCGGTCGTGGCCCCGGCGCCGGCGCCGGCGCCAACGCCGGCGGCGGCGCCAGCGGCGCCTACCACGCTGGCGTACACAGCGCCAGCGGCGCTGGCAGCGCCAATGAGCGAGGAGGAGGCACTGGGTACGCAGAAGTGGGCAGAGATGGCAGAGGTAGAGGGTACGCACAGCTGTTTGTCGGCTTTGGCGCTTTGGCCGTTTTGCAGACCCTATTTTTTTGTTGAACCTGCAGGGGCCGTTGTGAAGAACACGTCCCCTCATGTCATGCTAAAGCAATTCTTGTTGGCATTTTGGCTTCAAAATTTCGATGGACACTTCACTACGGCGTGTTGGGCCGGGTTTAGTTTGCATGCTGGATTCCTCAATTGGACCCTTGTTAACTTGCCAAAGGACGGTCAAGGCAAGGGAAAAGAGAACAAGATCCAGCAAGGGTGTTGCTTTTTGCTCAATAAGCCCAATGTGAAGCATCGATTTGAATAACTGCTTGAAGCAAGGTCATTGTTGCACCAGGAGCCCCACAAATTTATGAAGCCCTCGCGGAACCGGGATTACCATGGCCGGTAGGCCCCCCTCCCCCTCAGGAGTTCGAAGAGGAGGGGGAAGAGATCGAGATCCCGCTGGATGCCACTTGCCAGCAGCCGGGAGATGCGGACAGCATGCGTGGGGTAGGTAACACCCGCCCCAGATTCTGACTGGCCATGTCATCCTCCCTGCGCCGTCATTGCATGTCAGGCCCATTGATGAAGGTTTGTCTATGTTCGTCGGACGTTGTTTTGGCTTTCTGGCTTAGCTCTTGGCTGTTATCTCTTTGTGGCTGGCTTGGGCAGTAGTAGGATGATGGAAAAAGGAGAGAAGGGGCTGAACAAATGAGGCCAAAGCTGTCCACCCTTAAACCAACCTGAATCCACGAGCCAAATGGGACCAAACATGACCAAACCAGCCGATGTTCCAACGTGAAGAATCCACAGGAACCTGAGGCTGTCTTGTGCTTGGTGCGATTCCAGAGCAGGAGATGGCGCTTTGTCATCCCCTGATGCTCCAGATAGTCAAGTGAAACCAAAAGCTTTAAAAGGAACACACCATTTGGAATTGGGACGTGTTGTCTTGCGCAGGCAAGATATCGACCTTCATCGTTTCAAAATAACACTCTTGGCAATTGTTTGACAGGTGCACGTTCAATCTCAAAGGTTTGAGCAGCATCCAGCTGGGTGCACAGGCAGGCTTCCTGTAACAGTATGTTGCCGGACGATGGCAATGGTGTCACTCACCCGTCACATGCCGGCAAACATTGATGCTACTCAGCTCCAGGTTGAAAGAGACACAGAAGGATGATTGTGCTGCGGGCATTCTGAAACATGGGGCAAATGTTTCTTCTCATGATTCAGCGCACCGTTTAGTTTACCGTGGTTCCCGCCCCCCCCACCAGGAAAAGTTCTCACCCTGGTTCTGAGAACCATTCTGGCTGGTGGGCAAGGGGGGGAACGATGAGCCCAAATTCGTCGCTTCAGTTTGCGACGCACGGGGACGCTGATGCCCAGGACTCGACCGAGCAGCCGTTGAGCCGCCCGGCGCCGGCGCCAGAGGATGACCGTACCTGGGCCAAGAGGTTGCTTTGAAAAGGCTTCGCTGGCGAATCAACGCCCCAAAAGCCCCCCCGTGGGATGCTTAGTTCGGTGTAATTCTGCGCACTGCAATGCTGCAAGGGTATATAAATGTACACCTCACACAAGCATGGAATATTGGAATCCTATGAACTTTGTATGCCTTGGCCAAGAAATGCGGGGCAAAGAGGCTTTCCAGGTGACGTGCTATGCAGCCCTAGATGCATTCTGCTTGTCGTGCAATGAGCCACAGCAAGCTTAGATTGTCAAAGGGAGCCCCTAATCAAGGCACATGTTTCAGGTGTTTGGAGTCAGTAAAAGAGGAACGATTGCTCGGAATCGAGAAATCCTAAGTCCGGTAGGATGGCGCGCCTGGGTCCTAATGGTTGCAAAGCCTCAACGCTAGGGTTTCTTCGAGTACGAAGGCCAAAAGATGTACGCGTATGAACGGCGTCCTGCTGTGCGTCAATGCATGCTATAGGGAGGTGTGCCATACTCATAGGCTGCTTGTTGTCATACATTATGCAATTCAGGCAACCACGTCATAGCTTGTGTGGGTGCGTTTTGCTCTTTCAGGTGTCGGCGCCGTGAAGCACTACTCCACTGATGACTTTGAGGATGTGTCGGAGGAGGCGGGCGGGTGACACAGATGGGAATAGCACCACGCTTGCGCAGCCCTGAAGCTGCAACACTTTCTTAGCCTTCGCAGGAAACAGTCAGAAAACCATTAGTCGGGTTGTCATGTTTCAATGTCTGAGCTTGATGCGCAAAGTGATGTTGACTGGGATATACTGGAACATGCGCTTGTGCAGAAGGCAGGTTCTGGATTGTCATCCCAATCCCGACAGACCATGATACAGATCCAATCCTCGAACCATCTCAAATGGAGAGGCTCCCACGCATATCATTGCTGTGCACGCCTCGGCATTCCTAATCGCCTGGTGAGAGCTTGGTGGTCGTTTGAACAACCATCACGTAACATGTTCGACTCGATCCCCACAGAAATGGGAAAGCGTCTCCTCCATCTATCCCTGGCGGACCAGTGCACTATTGCAGCATGAGTTGGCTTCATGTTTCCAACCACCAGGCCCACAGTGGGGCTCCGTTCCCCCTTAAAGAGGGTGCAGTCCAGGGTTGGGTCAACGATGTCTGAAAAAGTTTGCACATCCTTTAGTTTCCCCGTGGTCCATTTTGGCGTTGTTCCTTTTTAAACGGGGTCTACTAAGCTGGACTGGCTCCTTAGGAGGGTTCCAATTAAGTTGCTTCACGCCTTCCACAAAAAGTTAACAACTGTTTGAGGAGTCGACAGCAACCAAGTTTCTCTTGCTGGTGCTCAGTGGGGAATGTGGGAATGAACCTAAAAAACCCTTTAAAGGAAACCAGAGCAAGTGGTTTATAGGGGTCATTCCCGCTTTCGGTTCTCTTCTGAGAACCAGCAAGTTCCTTGGATCCATTCGCATAACTTTGCCACTCAGGCGCTGCCCGCACCGTCTGCGCCGGCGCCGGTGAGGCCCGCCGTGCCAGCGGCTGCGCCCCCGGCCGGGCCGCCGGTGCTGGTCGAGGCAGAGGAGTTTTCTGATGGAACGACCAGGTTGGTTCATGAACAACCCCCACTTCGACAGCTTTTCGTGCTGGTTTTTCATAACGGGAAACCCCATGGGCCCAAGCAGTGGTCTCAGGAAGATGTGGAGGAAATCCTAGCAGCTTATAGCGTGCTTTGTGAATTTGGTCGGGTTATGCCATCCATTGCATGATCAATGTTGGAAGCAAGTGTTTGCATCATGGGAAATTCCTCAGAAGTCTCTGCGCAGACAGGGGCGTTTCGGATGGATTGCTGATTATTGCCAAATCAGGGTGAGGTGACTTGGGGCGAGGGCTTTGGAAACAGCGGTTTAGTTGCCAGAAGCTTAGGCAAGAACCCTTGACATGTTTTGTCACTTGCAAAGATGACTGAATGATTGACCCTTTGGTCAGTTTTGGCAATGCTGAGACCTCTGCCTCTGCCACATATGGTCACCCACTTGTGCCCTTGTCGTGACAAGCACCAGAGCCATTTCGGCGTTTGGACACACACACACACCCGCACTAAAAGCTGCACTTTCTGCGCGAAGTGCTGAGGGGGATTCAGCATGCAGGAAAATAGCGATATGGATCCCGACTACAACGAGGAGTTCGAAGTGCAGAGCGATGACGGTGAAATCGCCGCATCTCCTGTCCCTGTGGAGCTGGAAGACCCGGCGGACACTTGGCGTTCACGGGGTGTTGCTTTGCAGCCCGTTGGTGCGGTGTTCCTGGCGGAAGCGTACCAAGCTCGTTACAAGATGCTTCTATACGTAATCCTGGGCATTGGACAGACCATTGCTGGGGTAGGGTGCGTTTAGTATTTGCCAAGAACGAGTCACTATAAAGCAAATGAGCAGCATCCGAGACGTGTTCGCTTTTTGGGGGCCCGGCCCCTAAAAGAAGTTCGTTTGGCAGCACACGCAGAACGGCTATTTTGGATGTTCAAGCATCAGCAGGTAAACTTACCGTGCCGACTGGCATTGGCAACTGGTGTGCTATTCTGTGTGAATTCAGATCATTTATTTGTTCATTTAATTCATGGGCGGAACCTTTTTGCGCGTTGTGCTGTTTAGGGCACGGGTAATTAGTCCAGTTGTTTTGTTCAGAGGCGTCGGCCGTTTTGCTTGGACCTCCGGCACGCTAACACAGCCGGAAGGGATCCTCATGCCGGAAGCATTGCACCCATGAAGCCACGGCCAACAAAGAGATTACCCCCTTGTCTTGTGGCTTTTCAGGGGAAGCCACAAGAAAAAGACCCACCCCATGTTGGGGATCTCCTGCACACATGCAGCTCTGAGGAGAGCATCTCGGAGGACGAGGTCTTTGCGGATCCTGTGAGGGAAGGCACCCGGATGCACGACTACGCGGAGAACTTCGATTCCTTCAGTGCGGCTTGGGCACAAATTCAGCGTGGGTCCCAACAGCCAGCCAGAGAGTCAGATGGTGGTCAGATGGTGGCCTGTTTGGGGCGAGATGCTGCGGGTTGCTTGATGCTTGCTACCTAAAACAAGCGGAGTGGTCGCGATTTGGTGCGGGCGAATCACTTCTGGGAGTGCCAAGCGCGCCAGAGCGTCCAAGACTATGCTCATTGAATAACTCTGGCAGGCAAGGTTTGCGTTTGACGGTTGTTTTCCAAGTGCAGGTGTGATGGTTTTAGATGTTGCCTTAGCAATCGCATAAGCGCCTAGCCTGGCGGGTGTGGGCCGAAGACACTTTCTCAGGGCCGAGCAGTTGATCGAATGCAGAGGCCTGCAATGTATTGAGAGTCCTTACTGGAAGGCAAGTCGACGGCCTCTGCCACTCGCGACGCATCACTCGCAAAGCAAGCCAGTCTGACTTTGAGAGCCCTGGGTTTGAGCAACTCACTCTTGATGAGCCTGGGCTCCCTGGGCAGACTGCCCTATCCTAAATTTGCAAGTGCACTAGATCCGGCAAACTCAACTGAATGGCTGTCACCGGCCCCTTCAACAGCCTAAAGAATATCGATGGCTATGCTCCAGAAATCCATCAAAATACATCAAGCAGCACACAAACGAGTCACCGAACGCTTGCAGAATTGAGGATCTGTGTCAGGAGATGCAGGATGAGGAGGTAGAGACCAAAGCTTAGACCAAGCAAAACAACAGGACACCGTGGTACTGGCGCTCCTCATGTTTTCCTTATCCCAAAATGATCTAGTATATCAGTATATTAGGTTTTGAACACCCATCCCGAAGGAATACTTTCAACCAGGGAAATGCTTGCCATCGACATAGCAAAACACGTGCATACCACGTTTTCAATGCGTCCATGTTGCTGCCATATTGTCCGACTGCACATTTTCCGCTTTTCGAGGATGGCATCTCCGAGGTGAACGAGGATGAGGATATGCTCCAGTAGGCCGTTTCATCATGAGCCATGGTCATGCTTGGCAATTCAGCCGTGAAGATGGAACGACATGTCCCAGAATCATGTGGGACATTCAATGTTTGTTCAGGTTCAAGGAGCTGTGACCTTGGCTCATATGCCCGCTGGCTTTGTGCAAATCACAATGTTGACAGGGCTTGTTCCTGTTTGCATCAAGCAGCGGAATCAAAACCCCAAATGAAGTTTGCCGAACCGGTGGCAAGCCGTTTGCGGTCTCATGGCATAGTCAGCATAGGCTTCCAGTGTTTAACACGCTGCATGCTGCCAAACAGGCGCATGCTCAGCAAACTTGGTGTATTCTTGGGCTGTGATGGCTGTGACTGCGCGAAAAGAGGTGAGCGAGTTGACCGTGATCCTTGAATCAAACAGTACAGAGTCCCGGCTTCAGACAGCTGAAGAAACGGAACCAAGGGTGTGACAGAACACCCACGTGCGCTCCATACCTCACTTCAGGATTTGGCCCCCTCCAGCCGGCGGTTGTTAAGCTTCCCGACGCTCCCCCAAACATGGGTGTGTCTTGTCTTGAGTGCACCCTTTTTCGGGTTTGTTTGGATTATGCAGGGAAGCCAAAAGGAAAGCTGAGAGTTCAATGGGCTGCCGTTGCATCAAGAGACACGTTGCAAGGGCTGGCCTGAGCTCAGCAGGAAAGACGTACGTGTTGCTTCATGAGCCTGCGGCTTGGCACGTGGGGCTGTTAGGCGTCCTCAACGCCTCCGTTGCGAGGGATGAATGAAGTTCTCGCATCTTAAGCCACGGACAGCACCCCTCCGTGTATTTGCGCATGAGGCACCTAGGCCTGATTGCCCAGCGTGCACCAACCTCCGGCTTGCCTGAGTAACTCCCATTTCGCAGGCCTCAATGGGCCTGGTTATATGTTTCAGTGTAGTGGAATGACACTGTTTCGGATCCTTGGTTGAGCGCAGTCCGCGTCAGGAGCTTTTTCTTCAAGAAGTCCTACCCTACAGGCATGCGCGCGTGTGCGTGTTTTTTGTTCTGTCTGTGTGTGTGGGAGGGCGTGAGGCGGGGAGGGGGGGTCGGTGTTTTGCTTGCGTGTGTGTGTGTGACAGATGGGTGCGTGCGTGCGTGTGTGTGTGTGTACGTACCTTATAAATGTGTTCTTATGTTATGTCATGTTACGTATGTGTTTATGCAAGAACCTAATGTAAAGTAGTGTAATGCAATGCAATGTGACGTGATGTAATGTAATGTAACGTAATGTATGTAATGTATGTTTGTAATGCAATGTAATGTGCAGAAAGTATGCAAAGTAATGTCATGTCATGTCATGTAATGTAATATATGCAATGTAACGTGATGTAATGCATTGCAAAGCAACGTAATGTAATGTAATGCAATGTACTGTAATGCATGCATGCATGTATGTACGTCCGCATGTATGTATGTATGTGTGTATGTATGTATGTAATGTAATGTAATGTAATGTAATGTAATGTAATGCATGTAATGTATGTATGTATGTATGTATGTATGTATGTATGTATGTATGTATGTATGTATGTATGTATGTATGTATGTATGTATGTATGTATGTATGTATGTATGTATGTATGTATGTATGTATGTATGTATGTATGTATGTATGTATGTATGTATGTATGTATGTATGTATGTATGTATGTATGTATGTATGTATGTATGTATGTATGTATGTATGTATGTATGTATGTATGTATGTATGTATGTATGTATGTATGTATGTATGTATGTATGTATGTATGTATGTAATGTATGTATGTATGTATGTATGTATGTATGTATGTATGTATGTATGTATGTATGTATGTATGTATGTATGTAATGTAATGTAATGTATGTATGTATGTATGTATGTATGTATGTATGTATGTATGTATGTATGTATGTATGTATGTATGTATGTATGTATGTATGTATGTATGTATGTATGTAATGTAATGTAATGTAATGTAATGTAATGTAATGTAATGTAATGTAATGTAATGTAATGTAATGTAATGTAATGTAATGTATGTATGTATGTATGTATGTATGTATGTATGTAATGTATGTACGTAATGTATGTATGTATGTATGTATGTTATGTAATGTAATGTAATGAAATGTAATGTAATGTAATGTAATGTAATTATGTATGTATGTATGTATGTATGCATGTATGTATGTATGTATGTATGTGTGTAATGTATGTATGTAGATATGTATGTATGTATGTATGTATGTATGCAATGTATGTATGTATGTATGTAATGTAATGTCATGTAATGTAATGTCATGTAATGTAATGTAATGTATGTATGTATGTATGTAATGCATGCATGCATGCATGCATGTATGTATGTCTGTCTGTATGTATGTATGTATGTGTGTATGTATGTATTGTAATGAATAAATGTATGTATGTATGTATGTATGTATGTATGTATGTGTGTATGTATGTATGTATTTATGTTATGTACATATATTTTTTATGCATGCAATGTACGTGACGCAATGTCATGCAATGCAACGCAACGCAACGCAATGCAATGCATGTACGTATGTCATGTATGTATGTATGTATGTATGTATGTATGTCCGGACTGCAATGTAATGTAACGTAACGTAATGTATGTGTTGATAAAACGCCATGTAATGTCATGTCATGTCACGTCATGTAGCGTAGTGTATGCATGTATGTATGTACGTATGTCATCGTATGTATGTAATGTATGTATGTATGTAATGTAATGTAATGTACTGTAAGGTAATGTAATGTAATGCAATGCAACGTAATGCAATGCAATGCAACGCAACGCAACGCAATGCAATGCATGTACGCAGTATGTATGTATGTATGTGTGTATGTATTGTATTGTACTGTAATGTACTGTACTGTACTGGAATGTAATGTAATGTAATGTAATGTATGTATGTAATGTGTTAATGTATGTATGTATGTATGAATGAATGTGTGTATGTAATGTATGTATGTATGCAATATATGTATGTATGTTGGTATGTATGTCTGTATTTATGTATGTATGTATTGTAATGTAATGAATAAATGTATGTATGTATGTATGTATGTGTGTATGTATGTATGTATGTATGTATGTATGTATGTATTTATGTTTTGTACATATATTTTTTATGCATGCAATGTACGTAACGTAATGTCATGCAATGCAACGCAACGCAATGCAATGCATGTACGTATGTCATGTATGTATGTATGTATGGATGTATGTATGTATGTATGTCCGGACTGCAATGTAATGTAACGTTACGTAACGTAATGTATGTGTTGAAAATACACAATGTAATGTCATGCCACGTCACGTCACGTCATGTAGCGCAGTGTATGTATGTATGTATGTACTTAATTGTTTGTACGTATGTATGTATGCATGTAGGGAATGTAACGTAGTGTGATGTAAGGTAAGGTAAGGTAACGTAATGTAATGTATGTATGTATGCATGTATGTATGTATGTATGCACGTACGTACGTACCTACGCACGTATGTATGTATGTATGTATGTATGTATGTATGTACCTGCGAAGACCGGTGGTTATCAAAATCCGCTTGTTGACCAAGAAGCAGAAATTGACGCCGCTTGCCACAAAAAGCGCCCTTTTCGAACAATGTCGCTTTTTCGGGTTGGCCGATATCTTTGGGCCACCAGACTTGGAGTCGCCTAACCCCTTGGCTCGATCGATCGATACCTGCACACTTACACACCCAGCATGGAGCGCCAATGGCACCTGTGACGAAAACCAATCTTGGAGATCCTCACCCCGCAGCACTAGACATCAAAGGTAAACATACTGTTTCAGGTTGAACAGGCCAGCCCCTTTTTGAGCTCCCGCGCAATGGCGAGATGCGCCCGGCGCCCAAACTTTTACCCGCACAGCCGGCATTTGGCGCGTTGGTGCACAATGCGGGCCTCTCATCTAGGACGATCAGCTCGGTCAAAAGTCTGTGAACCCATCTCAAAAGCAGGGTTGCGTCGGACCCTTTGACGTTGAACCATGGGTACTGCGACTTGGCTTTCCAATTGAGCAAGGATTTGGCGAAGGACCGAAGGGGTTGCGGTTCACTGCTGCGCGCCACATTCGAAAGTGCCCATGCGCCCGCACAAGTTTCACGTCGACTGATTGCCCATCTCCGGCCCCTTGGTTGAAAAAGCCCATGCCGAAGAGGCACGCAAAGAACAGTTGCTGAAATGCCGTAGCACCCCTTGCTTTCCAACGTGGAAGCAATCTCGACGGTACAGCTTCTCTGGGCGGGCAAAGGGCCCAGCTTCAAATGGGACAATCGTAAGCGGGGGCGCCAAAACGGCACTCCATGGCCTTGACGCAAACAGGGTCGATTGCCAACTTGGCGTTGGGGTGACATCCTCTTAGCTGAGGTTATCTAGGCCTGCCAGGCACTCCATGCACATAGCCTTGTTACGAACCTGTCCCTTGTTCAGGTAGGACCTGTTGAGGTACGCAATGCGCTCAAACCGCCTCATGTCGCCTTTAGAGCCAATCAGGGCAACAGTCCGGCAGCGCCCGGCAACCTCAACCCCTTCGTAAAACAATTCCCGCAGGCCTCGCGCCGCAACCGTAAGCAGTTCATCCAGAACACTTGGATGTGCCTTATAGGTGGAGCAAGGCACAAGCCATAGCAAGAAGCGACTGAGGAAACTGTGTTCCTTGTTGCGCGTATCCTGGTACTCGCAAGATGTAGTTGGGCTAGCTTGCCTCAATGTATTGCAAAACCTTTTCCGGGTTGGTTCCTCAACCTCACAACACGTACAAGCAAATGAGCTGTTCCCAACCTTCGCATTCAGGGCGCTATGCAAGCCCGGCATGGCTTCCAAAGCAAAACAGGCAACATTACCACGACGAACTCCCCGTCCCTTGTCGCCATACACTGCCATGGGCGCGCAGTATGCCTTCGCCTTGCTGGAAACCACGTGCTTCAGGGTGCTCTTGCTTGTAAGGTGC